CCAAATGCCACTCCACCGAAATGAAAGTTCTACCCAAAAGACCTTGAACTTTACTGTTTTGGACACATACGTCAGAGAAAATTATTGTCTTTCAAGAGAACGAATTACTGTTTACACTCAAGTTTGCAGTGACCCTAAAGTCTCAATTAAACCAGAATTTGTGTTTAAAGGCAAAGGTGTTAGGGTTAAACTTAATTCTCATCAAGATGTGAAGTTTCAATGGGCACCTAAAGGTTCCTATCGATTGGAACATATGCTGAGTACAATAGCTAATTTACCAAACAGGCTCAATATTTTTACACATCAAAATTACGGGATTTATGTTCTAGATGATTATAGTGTTCATATAATGCCAGAAATCAAAGCTGCTTTACTAAAGAAAGGCTATATTTACGTTGGAATAGGTGGTGGTGTTACAGGGGGCGTTCAAATTAACGATACAGATTTCCACAGGCCTTTAAAAGCTAAATACCGAGTCAAAACCTTATGATAGAGCAATTAAGCTAAATACCGAGCCAAAACCTTATGATATTGCAATTAAGGCTTGACCCCAAAAAAATTCCACAGCCATCTAGGGATCACATGATGCAAATGCTACTAAAAAGTTGGAATTTGTTGGAGATTGATGTTACTAGTCGATTTAAGGCACTGTGGGTAACCAATGCTTTAGACGGAGGCGAGGATTATCTAGTTTCAGAAAGAATATTTGCCTTAGAGAAAAGCTTTAAGCATTTTGGAAAAAACTTATGCTTACCCCAAGCCCAAGAAACTTGAAAGATTTTCAGGGGCTAATTACACCTCCAAAAGGAGTGAAACGAAAGCAAGGACAAAACACTTGTGAAACAGAGCCGCTAGATGAAGGACATGAATTATTGGATTGTGAAGGTGAAACATTATTTATAAATCAACTTGATGAAGAGCATCAGTCAGACGAAAAAAACGATACAAATTTGGAAACAAGTGCTTTAGAAAATCAAGATGAAAACAATCGTGTTAATTTAAATACCGACAGTTCATTCAACATTTTATTAGGTGACTTATGTCAAGGCAATGATGATCTAAGAAAAGATGCTGTTTTCATTGATAAATTAGGAAAACTTTTATGTAATGCAGAAACATCTACCCAATTTATTCTACATCTTACAAGATTGAAACGGAGCTATATAACATCTCGCCGTCCCATAAAAAGCCGTATTGAAAACAACTTTGAAGCCTTTGACAACGAACAGTTAGAAAATGAAGTGGAACACCGCGATGAAAATGATTCAATCAGGAACGCTTTTGAGGATCTATTTAAATAAAAAGATCATTTTTATATATTTTATTTAAAGTTAATAAATATTGATAATTAAACCTTTTTTAAAGTCGTTTCTTCTGGTAATTTTGTACGTTACGGGGATTACATTCTCTCTCTCTGTTTACTAGAACTAGAAGAAGTTCCATTTTTTTAAACAAAAAAACCCGCACATTTATTTTGTAGATAAAATCCTCCTCCTACTATAAACCTTCCCCCCCCCCCCCCCCTCGTTTATTAAATTTCAGAAAAAATTTCTCATTCCCCCCCCCTCCCGTTTATTAACCCCCCCCCCCTCTCCTTTATTAGATTTTGACTAAAATTCCCACCCACCCGTTTATTCCGACCCCCCGTTGTATTCGGCACTCGAGAGTAAAAAGACAAAAACAAAAAAACAAAAAAACAAAAAAGCAAAGCAGTTTAAAAGAAATCATTAATAAGATTTGTATACTTTGAAATATTCTTTTTTATTAGTTTTTGAAAGCAATTTATATTGTTTACACCTGGTAAATTACTATATTTTGCTAAGATTTTATTCCAGATATGCAGAGCACAATACGTAATTTTAAATTGTTCTTGTTTAGTTTTGCACAATGTTTCAATTAAGCCTGTTGTGCGTAAAGTATATTTAATGTTAGGTTTTATTTCATAAATATCATTAAAAATTGAGGGGCATTGTTGAAATTTGCTTTTGTACATGAGACATAAAATTTTATAAACGTTTATTTCGTATAACGTAAAAATATTCATAATTTCGAACAGTGGTTTTACATGCTCGTTTTTATTTTTAAAACTCATTATTCTTAAGGCATGTTTTTATTTTCGATAGAGTGTTTCAAGCTTGCTTTTAGATGTACTACACCACGCAATATTCGCGTAATTCAAGTAACTTGGTATAAAACTAAAATAGATTTGTTTTAGATGATGCTTATTAAGTGACTGATATAGAACGCCAATACTTTTTGATATTTTGCTGCCAATATAGACAATATGTTTATTCCAGGTAATATTTTCGTCTATGAGAACACCAAGAAATTTTGTGACTCTTTCGCGACTAACTTCTGTGTTTTCAATAACTAGTTTTGGAAAAGAAACAGGATTTTTTTTTTTTTTAAAGGGTGGAATAATGAGAACTTTGTTTTATTTGAATTAATAGAAAGTTTATTTGCATTGAACCATAGTGAAATTTTATCTAACTCGCTGTTAATTTGTACGAAGAGTTGAGGTATATCCTTTCCTGAAATAAAAAAGTTACTGTCGTCAGCAAACATTATTGTTGATATATTGGACGCTCTCCAGAGATCATTCACGTATATTAGGAAAAGTAGAGGCCCAAGAATAGATCCTTGGGGCACTCCACAAGAAATTAAAGATGAATTTGTAAGTTTTTTATTTCCGTAATATAAAATGTTTTAAAAACATTTTATATTACGGAAATTTAATTGTGACACATATTTAAATATTTTTGTATAATTTTTGTAGTTTTATTTTTCTGTTTCAAGCAAGGAATTTAAAAAAAAATATTATCATCTAGCTTTCGTTTATTCAGATTTTCATTTACATAATTATAATGAGTGTCGTCAATTGATTATTGAAAATATTTCCAACACAACATCAGACAGAGTTGCAGTTAACCATCTGACCATAAGCAAAGTTAGTGCAACTTGGGGAATTAATTGAATTTTCATTTGCATCCTCTTGATACAATTGCTACTAAATGTTGCTCAGCATTAAAGTGTCTAGAGACAGAAAATTGTGAGTTATTTGGCAATGATTATGCAGCCGTCAAAATGAGGTTTAAAGACGGTAAAAGTAATGCAGAGGGATTTTAAATGTTTTACGATAGACACCACGAGAAGGCAGGTCAGAGCCGTCTATCAATAATTTGTGCAAGTCACAACACTTGCTGGTTACTCAAATGTTTCCAAAATGTTTTTTACAATCTGAATACCGATTAGATGATTAAAGTTTGCATCCTCAACTGATACATAAAACTTTGTCGTCCACGGACCACTTAGCAGTTTCCCAAATACACCAAGCACACGCATTTTTTTTTATACCGGTAGCATTACTAAATGCTGCTTGCAAACTGCCACATTTTACTGTTCCATTGATCAAAAAATTTAAAAAATCAGCACAGTTTTTAATTAATATATAGCTAGTATTAAAAAGAATATGAAGATGGTCTCCTCGATATCTAAGGATGATACACCTAGGTAGTTTTTTGAGGTCTAAAAAAGTAACAAATCTCTCTGGATTACTTTTACCGTCTTTAAACCTCATCTTATTCATAGCCAAAACAATTTTGACGGCTGCATAATCATTGCCAAATAACTCACAATTTTCTGCCTCTAGACACTTTAATGCTGAGCAACATTTAGTAGCAATTGTATCAAGAGGATGCAAATGAAAATTCAATTAATTCCCCAAGTTGCACTAACTTTGCTTATGGTCAGATGGTTAACTGCAACTCTGTCTGATGTTGTGTTGGAAATATTTTCAATAATCAATTGACGACACTCATTATAATTATGTAAATGAAAATCTGAATAAACGAAAGCTAGATGATAATATTTTTTTTTAAATTCCTTGCTTGAAACAGAAAAAAAAAACTACAAAAATTATACAAAAATATTTAAATATAAATGTCACGATTAAAGACATAAACACCATACTAGTTATAGTGATATCTAAAGATAGCGGTTAACAAAAAAAATTTCAGGAACTATAATTGGTTATCAAAAATATTATAAATTGGACCTATTTTCAAATATATGATACTGTTAAAAAAATTTAAAGAAAAACAAAGTATCATCAAAAAAAAAATTAATTATAGAATAAGAAGAAAAATAATTATGTCAATTTATTATAAATTGACATGTTTTTAACAAAAACTGTCAAAAACATTCAAAACAAATATATGTTCTTTTGCATTTGGGTTCAAAATTCATTTAATTGATACATAAAAATATAGAACAAAGTCTCTTCTTTTTCAAAAATAATCTATGTTGGTATATTTTTCTAAAAAAAAACACCACAACAAAACGTTTGTCTGACGCTACCTCAAAAAAAGTTTAAAAAACGTGGCACAGAATTTTTGCACAAAATTCGGTTCCGTAAAACGGCTATTTTTGCATACCTACATATTATATATATATGTATATATATATATATATATATATATATATATATATATATATATATATATATATATATATATATATATATATATATATATATATATATATATATATATATATATATATATATATATTATGTGAGTGTGTTATATATATATATATATATATATATATATATATATATATATATATATATATATATATATATATATATATATTATGTGAGTGTGTTATATATATATATATATATATATATATATATATATATATATATATATATATATATTATGTGAGTGTGTTATATATATATATATATATATATATATATATATATATATATATATATATATATATATATATATATATATATATATATATATATATATATATATATATATATATATATGTATATATATATATATATATTATGTGTGTGTTAGTATTTGTGTATACACACAAAACATCCTCTAACTGTTATATACCAATATTTAAAGTTTTCTATTTAAATATAGTAACATTGTATAATATACATAAATTATATATATAAAGTATAAATAATCAAAGTATAAATGAAATATGATATTTTATAAATCTGCTCAACTTGCCCCTACTAGACAAGGTGACACATCAGTTAGGTTATAAAAAATAATCAATAATTATAATCAATAGCCAAATAATTGGTTAAAATATAAACACTTAAGTGATTCCAGATAATTGTTTTTTTAAGCATTTAAGAGAAAAATAGTAAAAATATTTTTTTTTCACTTTTTTGGCCCAAAATCGAAAAAGTGTCCGTGCATCTTACTGAACTGGGGTCCAACAACCATTTATGCGCATTTTATTACCATTCTAAATACCTATCTTTTATCCATTAGATGTTTTGCCATGTGATGAGTAGTTTTTGATATATTTTAGTTGCCCAACTTGCCTCTATGCTCAACTAGCCCCGCTCTACCCTAAATATTAATATACTTGAACAATCTTTTGAGCCAAGTGATTTTTAAAATAGCAACCTAAAAAAAGAACATTATTTCAGTAAAACATTTTAAAACATTAAAATAAAAAAATAAAAATTAAAAATGACTTTTCTTGATTTTAAACTAAATCAAGCTTTTCCCCCGATTTTCTGTGATTGTATCTAAATTTTCCTGACTTTAGCCCCGAAAAAAATTTTTGTTTGTCAAAATATTTTTGCCAAATAAGTAAAAACGGAAGTTTTATTTAAATTCTTTAATTTTTTTTCTTTGTTTAATTTTGTTGTTCTCAATGCAAATAAAATTGTAAAACATTTATAAATAGTTTTTATACTAAATACTTAAAATTTGCTTCTTAATTAGTTTAGAAACAATTGTATTTGATTTCAATTTGCTATTGCTTTCGTATTTGCTTTCGATTTGTTCAAATTTATAATTTGTTTTTAAAATTTAAAACTAAAATACAAAATTTAGTTGATTACTAGTTAAAAAGAAAATAAATGTTTTTCTTATAATTTAGTTACAAAAAACGGAGCAAAAAAACAATTGAAAGAGAAATTACATATTCTTTGCTCAAGAAGTCCTTTATATATCAAACCATACAGTTATGAAGACATTTTATGTTTTTATATAACAAGAAATTTTATTACTTTCCATGGCTCATTACAGGTTTTTTTCTTATTTTTTTAATGTAACAAAACAAAACTGTCTTGATTATCGAAACTTTAGTTTAATTAGCAATCGATCTTTTATACATTCTGTTTACTTTCTAAAGTCTTAAACATTTGATATCCATAGAAGTATAATATCTATGCGGTTTAAGAGGCTTTAAGAGGATTTACTTGGGTATAAAGGAAACTAATATCAATTAGCACTGCTGTTACGATGTTTCCATCTCGACATGTAAATACATTAACTTAGTCGTTTAAATAAAAATTAATTTTATCAGTACCATTTAAGACGAACTTAATATTTAAAGAAGGTTGAGTTTAATATTTAAGTATAAACTGGAAATAATTTTTTTTTTATTCATTTATTAATAGAGTAAGTAAAAAAAATAATAGTAGTTTTATTTTGATACAGTTATTTTTGAAAACAAAAAAAAAAAATAATAGTTTAAATTTAACCCTTCAAAATAGTGATAAAAATAAACAATAATTAAAAAAAAAAAATAGGCTTATCAAGTAGGTAAAAGGTTAATTATGGAGAAAAGGTAATAAAATTGTTAGTTCTGAGAAGGGAGCATCTGGTGCAAACCCCAACGCCTGATGCCAACGCCTATGCGTATATATTTGTATTTCAAATATGTTTAAATGCAAACTTTCTAATAAAATCAGTTTCTAAATCAAAAATAAAAATTGCTTATGCGGGTTCTACATGCAAGTGAACACGTTCTTCAAAGTTATATTTTATTTGCAAAATAATTTTCTGTTGTTAAAACATTAAACTTTTGTAGATGAGATTCTAATGAGACTTTGTTTAAATATTCATACACTTTTTCACAGCTATGCATACAAAAGATAACAAACATTATAATAACTTTATTTGTTAACTTTACAATAAGAACGCGTATACTCGCAGAAGATTATAAGATCTTGTTATCGAGAACTGTCTAAACAGATTGTAAATGAAAAAATAATCGTTTATTTATACATAAATAATTATTTACACACATATAAACATACAAACATATAAATATATATATAATTACACATTTATATATACATATCGTGTATATATATATATATATATATATATATATATATATATATATATATATATATATATATATATATATATATATATATATATATATATATATATATATATATACGTGTGTTTACGTGTGTGTGTGTGTGTGCTTACGTTACGTTTACGTTTACGTGTGTGTGTGTGTGTGTTTACGTGTGTGTGTGTGTGTGCAAATACACTTACATATAAATAAACATACATATAAATAAACGTACATATAAATACATAAATTATATATACCAATGCAAACACTTATCGTTATTATACATATATAATTCACGTGAATATAAGAGATAGATACATAATATTTGCTCTACAAAATAATTCATAAACCAGTCAAATTCAAATTTATATAAAAAAATTTGAATGTACAAAGTAAATATTTATATATATAATTATGAAATAGGGACTATTTAGTATAAAATATAAGATGTACCTAAAATAATACATCCATGTGTCCCAAGTATATATTACAAAAACAAAAGTTAAATAAAGAAAGTAAGTTTATATATAAGTTAAGATAAAAGATTTGGCATGTATAAATTACGATAAAAGATTAGATTAAGAGTATTATTACGGAAGCAATAAAATAAACTTAGCCATAATGCGATATTTTTCTACAAAAGTTATGAAATATTTTTTTTTGACAATTGACTATCTATAAATTACATTTTTTTTCCATAAACTATTAAAATTGATCCTAAATCTGGAAAAAAAGTCTGGTATTTTGTGAATACAATTGAGAATTTTTGTTTAAAAAGTTTTAGTTTAATGATAAATGCAGTATATTTGTGGCTGAGATAAATTAATAATAATTTAAAATTTACTAACAATAATAATATGAGATAATAAAAGATATACTTTTAAAATTTTGCAAAGCCTCATCTCAAGTTCTTTACAGAGAAGAAAGATTTCAGCTATTTTTTATGGGTCATCTCAGCAAATGATTTTACTTCCTGCTCAAAATGCTTACTTCCTGTTCTAAAAATATCTCTCAATTTTTGCTTTGTCGAAGTTTTATGTAATTTGAGTTTATTTTTCTCTATAGATGCTCTTTTTCCTTGCAACTAGATTCTTTCAACGACAACTAAAATAAAAACCAGAAGATTTTGTGAAAGGTTTTTAGTTTTTTCTTATCATGTTCAATAAAGAAATTCAATGAATACATTGAAAACACACAAAAAAAAAAGTTCAATAAATACATTGAATAACAGATGTGCAAGCAACTACACATCTGTTATTAGGATACCACAAAGTATGATCTGGTGCAAGCAACAGAAGTAATTTCAACAGAGCAAAATTATAACAAGCAATTAAATTGATGGCATGTCCAGAAACTAAAAATTTAAGCTAAAAAGCAAAAGTTTTTATCTTTTTTAAAAGTAATTATCTTCTCTTATTTTATTTTATTTTTTTACTATTTCTTATTTCTGATCACTTTTATTAGTTTTAAATAATGTGATAAATTTGCTTTAAATAGTTTTACCGTTTAAAAACGTAAACAAAGAGTTCATTTCAATTTTTTTCACGTTATAGTTAAATTTAAGGAACAGTTTTAGTTTCAGTTTGTTTCTCGCATTTGTTTACAATTGTTTTTTTAGAAAATAATTTTGACGTTTTTATGTTTATAACTTGCTTTTGGTGGTTACTGTTCTTTCAGCCTCTAAAATTTGTCGCGTTCATTTATAAAATGTCTACTTGCAGAAATTGAGAGACTTTACTTGAAAAAATTTAGTAAAATATAACTTAATTTACTTGAAGAAATTTAGTGCCTATTTTACTTGAATAAAGTTTATCATTGTTATTAACGGAATTGTTTAATCAGTAAGTATTTTGGCAAAAGGATCCATTTAGTTAACTTCCTTTTTTTATGCTTATTCTATTGCTATTTTTTATATTTTACATATGAATTGTTTAAAGACATTTCAAAAAAGCATTGGACTTTTTAAAATTTAATCTAAAGTTTTTCAGTTTCAAGTCTCTACTATATTTAAACTCTAGGCATTTTTCACACCAACGGAAAGGAAGGAAGAGCGTACTTTCTAGTTAAATACTCTTCTGCGGTGCTCTGTGACAAGACCTTAAAGTCTTCTTGTTAAATACTCTTCTGCGGTGCTCTGTGACAAGACCTTAAGGTCTTCTTGTTAAATACTCTTCTGCGGTGCTCTGTGACAAGATTTTAAGGTCTTCTTTTGAACAAAACCTAAGACAAAAATTAAAAAAAAAAGTTTTGGAACGTTCTGTTTTTAAATGTAATACTCTGTGTATCAAATATTATTCGTCTAAGGTCACACATGTTTTTAAGATTATTTATATATCATTAAACGTAAATGACGTAAATGATGTAAATAAACATAAAACTCGATTATTAAGACACAAAGATTATATAAAAAATTATTTCATAATGAGTGATAAGGCCTTTATTCATCTGAAAGTTTATATTAACAAACAAAGTTGCAAAATATGGGGCACCCAAACTCTAAGAATAATTTTTGAAGATCATATGTACCCACTTCTATACATATTTGCGCAGTATGATGAAGAATAACTTCAAAAAGGATAATTGGACTACATTTTTTTTTGAAAATGACAAACAAGTTGCAGTTACTGTGAATGGCAATGAATTTGAAATATATTGATATTGAATGGAAATTTTTTACGACCAGAGGTAAAGAACAATTCAAATTTGTGGATCCAATAAGACGGAGCTTACCTCACATAGCTTGTGAAACTATGGTTTTTTTGGGGAAAATATTTTGAGATCAAATAATATGGTATTTTTCTGATTTTAACTAGCCATCTTGTTTGCCGATTTATTTTTTGGGGCTACCTAAAGAGTAAAACAAATGCCAATATTCCAAGAACTATCAAAGAGCCCAAGGCTAAAATTAAATAAGAATTAAGGGCGATGAGACCTAAAATACATAAAAAAAACTATAGAAAGTGTTCTAAAAAGAGTATATCATATCAAGTTTTAAATTTGCTCCATTTCTCAAAAACCAAAAAAAAGCTGCTGCAATTCGCGCCATTATGCATATATACTATGAATAAAGTTTTGTATCAAGTGTTAAATTAATTGATTTATAAAAAATGAAGAAGTCTACAAAAAAAAACAATGACAGCAACACTGATAATTTTGAGGTGCTAGAAGTAAAATCATTTTTATATCAAGTGTAAGTTAAATTAATTAATAGAAATCATTTTTGTATCAAGTGTAAGTTAAATTAGTTGATAGAAATCATTTTTGTATCAAGTGTAAGTTAAACTAATTAATAGAAATCATTTTTGTATCAAGTGTAAGTTAAATTAATTGATAGAAATCATTTTTGTATCAAGTGTAAGTTAAATTAATTAATAGATATCATTTTTGTATCATGTGTAAGTTAAATTAATTGATAGAAATTATTTTTGTTTATTTTTTTAAATGTATGATTTAAATTCAGAATAAGTAAAAGTCCGTCTAATTTGACAGCAATAGGATAAAAATCTAAATCAATACAAAACTTTATGTTCTATTCTAATGTTGTCAATTTTTTGTAAAATATACTGTTTAAATTCAACGTGCTTCAAATTACGGACGATTCAAAATAATATCGTAATTTTAGCAACCTTAATTTTTATTTAAGCCCAGAAATTAAACTTTTTATTTTTTTTTTGTCACCAAAAAGTTTTTTGGTACCAACAAATAAAAGGCTATAATTGTTACGGGATTTTCTTATCATTTATTAAAATAATAATAATAGCAATAATAATAATAATAATAACAATAATAGCAATAATAATAAAATAAATAAAAAAAGATTGGATGCATGCGTATCTACCAATATATATATATATATATATATATATATATATATATATATATATATATATATATATATATATATATATATATATATATATATATATATATATATATATATATATATATATATATATATATATATATATATATATATATATATATATATATATATGTAGGCTACATTTGGAGGTCAACCATCCTTTGGCAGTGGCTAGACGTTTTTATCGTTAAAAGAGTAAACGGTAATTTATATATTTGGCAGTGGCTTGGCATTTTTGCTGTCAAAAGCGTAAACGTAAATTTGGTAATTTGGCTAAACATACAACGATAACCATCGTATCTAGGTCCTTTTGCACAACCTTTTGAACGATCTGGAAATGTACTTTATTCAGTCTGGAAATGTGATTACATTGGTTATATACAGTAATATATAGTAAAATTATGAACATTATTATTCGCATGAGTCAGCTGTTCGAAAGACACAGTAATTTGATTGAGGCAAGGCGTAAACACCACAACAAAAGGAAAACCATAAAAAAAAACATAAACAAAAGTTCAAATTTCTTTAATACCGGTTGTTCTGTAACAAGACCTTATGGTCTTCTTTGAGTATCCGCGTTCTTTATTTTTATTTTTACACATTTTTTTTTCTTAACAATATCTTGACTTGTTAACTTTTCTTTTTTTTATACTATTTGTAACATATCTATCATAAATATTATAATAAAGAACAAACAAACAAACAAACAAAAAAAAAAAAAAAAAAATGTCTCAGTACTTTGTTAAACATGGAACACGGGAAAAGATAGCAAACAAAAATACTTAGTTTTTGCAAAACTGTCAGTCATAAAGCCATAATATTTTTTCAGAAAGGTAATTTTATCATGCATTACAAAAAAAACTATCCCTAAAAAATTTACGCATCCAAAACACCACCCATTAGCAATATTTTTTTAGTATTAAAAAGTATTAAAAAAAAATTAAAAAGTATTAAAAAAAATTAAAAAGTATTAAAAAATTAAAAAGTATTAAAAAATTAAAAAGTATTAAAAAAAACTTATGCATATAAAACTACGCTATTTAGATTACGAAAACCAATCGGTATTTTAAAATACAAGCTATATATGCAGTTTGATTTCCACCCATTAATTATATTTTTTGAATGAATAGCCATCTTTAGCAGTTCGCCATTTTGCCTTGTTATCCCCTATATTTCTGAAGTAGCAAATAATATTGGCGCAATATTGTTTACAGTTTATAAACTATATCAACAATATTGCGCCAATATTGTTTGCTACTAGGGTTAAATCATACATTTCAGCGGTTCTTGGTCACACTGCGAGTACATGTGTTAAAAGAATATTTATGAGCATTAAGTTTTACACCTGAATATACTTAAAAAAAAGAAGTACAAAAGATAAATGTTAAAGTTTATAATTGTAACAAACTTATCACAGCATAAAACATATTCGCAACGAAAGCAAAAGTAACATATAATCGGAAAAAAAGCTATTTTATAAAAACAAATTTTATCCATTCAAGGTATAATAGGCTAAATTGAGGAAGAAAGAAGCAAAAAATGGTTTTAAACTGTGTTTAAGTCAAAATAGCGCTTTAGCAATCAAAAAGGAGAACTTTGAAATGTAACAGCTAACCTGAAACATCATCGGCCTCAACATAATTTTTATTACTACAAAGACTATTCTGTGAGAAAAAATTTTATTATTATTAACCTGGCGTTAACGTTACATTGTATTATACTTGTTTGGTTTAAAAGCTAACTTCAAAAAAATTTAAAGAGGAGCGAGTTTTGTTACTAACTCTATTTTTTATTATACTAATTATTTGTATAATATATATATATATATATATATATATATATATATATATATATATATATATATATATATATATATATATATATATATATATATATATATATATATATATATATCATATATATATATATATATATATATATATATATATATATATATATATATATATATATATATATATATATATATATATATATATATATATATATATATATATATAATTATTTTTAAAAATATATAATAGTTATTTAGTTCTTTATTATTATTTATTATAAATTGCCTAATAACAGGGGCGGATCTAGCATTTTTTTGGTTTTGAGATAGCTGACTTCCAGACATGGAGCAAACTTTAAACATTTCTATGATTATACGTATGTCAAGTAAGGATCCTTTGCAAAAAATTGCGACGATTGGAGCCGGGGAACAAAAAAGCCCCACAATTTTGGCCCCCCTGTCCCAAACGTGAGAGCAAACAGTTGCTATAATAATTTTTGTACTATTCTTAACTAGACTTATTATTAGACATCGATAAACTTTAAATTTCATAGTAAAATATTTTGATTATAAAAAATTTGGTTTTTTTTTGTTCAAGCACCAATCATGGTAATTTTGTGCGAAGCATCCTTGGAGTTTGCTCCATGTCTGGAAGTTAGCTATCCTAATAATAATAATTACTAATTAAATTGTAATAAACAATTATACTAATAACAGGTATAACTAGTTACACCATTAATTACCGAATAATCGTGCGGTTTTAGTATATGACTTTTTAATAGGGGATAAAAAAACAAAATGGCGGTTTAGTTTAACTAATGATAAGATGGTTTTCGTTGTTTTATTTTTTGTAAATGACTTTAATAGACGAATATTGTATATTTTTTGTTAAAATAACTAGTATTACAAAGATATTAACGCTATAAAATGGTTTTGTTTTTCATATTTATGTTACAACAACAATAATACAAAAAAAAAAGGAGATTTAAATAAAGTAATATGGAATAATTATTTCTTTTAGCCCATCTTCTTAATTTCCAAATATCGGACGAACGGATACATTTTTTAACATTATTAAAGATAACTCATTATCTTAAGTTAGCCCACCGTTTCAGTAATACAGTATAGTATTCATAAAAGTTAATGCAAAAAGTGGTATTTTAGATTTAAACAGAATAAAGAACCAACAACTTCGATATATAAAAATGGAAATAATATTAAACAACACTGGATATTGCTAACAATCTAAATCGTCAAGAAACTCCTGCTATTATTTCATATCATCTCAAAAGTTTCCCACCTAATATTTTGTATCCTAATATAATAGATACAAAATACGCTATTTATTTACTAATTTATGTTATTTTCTCCATTATAAAACAATAAACCATTAAGTAAAAGACTTGAAACAGCTAATGCAGAAATACAATCTAAAAATAAAATATAATTCTACATATAAAAGTAAAAGTTCTCAAAAATAAGAAAATCAATTATTATTACAAAGTTACCAAAACCTAATACACTAATCATTAAGAAAATAATTCTTCATAATAAAAATACCTTTTATCTATTGGAATGCGCAACGCATTATTTAATATTACAAGTCCATATATACTACTGTGTATTAAAATTGCAAAGGCCCTTAAGGTAAATGAGCTTTAAATAAAATAACTAAATAATGTCTTTGAAAAAGATTTGTCTTCATGCATTGGTAGTTATGGTCCATGCTTAACTAGTTACCAAAAGCTCATGTAATATTTTTTGCTACATGAATAGTATTTTTAGTGACACTTTTCAAAAAAGCTGACCTTCATCGAGGTTATCCTATTTATTAAAAAAGATTTCCCAAAATATTTTTCAAGAATGGACATCCTCAAATTGATACATTGATACACAATTTAAAGATATAGATACAGATAAAGACTGTACACAATTTAAAGATATAGATACAGATAAAGACTGTACACAATTTAAAGATATAGATACAGATAAAGACTGTACACAATTTAAAGATATAGATACAGATAAAGACTGTACACAATTTAAAGATATAGATACAGATAAAGACTGTACACAATTTAAAGATATAGATACAGATAAAGACTGTACACAATTTAAAGATATAGATACAGATAAAGACTGTACACAATTTAAGGTTCAATCTACAAAATTTTATTTTAGTGCTCTCAATTTTTCTCATTACAAAAATACACAGGCAAAGTATTTTGTTATTTAGTACATAATTGTATTTAAGCATATGGAAGTTGTCTATATTTCTATATCTATATTATTTAATATTAGATAGTGAATAATGGTGTGTTACGTTATGCTTTCAAACTTTTTCTTGTAAACAACAAGAAAATCAACTGTTATTTCTTTTGTTTAGCCATCTGAATTTTGCTAAAAATCTGTATATTTGATAGGATCAGCAGAGTATATTTTTTCAATGTTAACATTTATATCTGTTAAATCTCTTTATATATGTTACTAAATATCGTAAATAGATTGTAAAAATAGAATATTGTTTTCTTTGCTTCTACACACTCCTTCTTATTATTTATGTAATAATTTTAGAACAACAATTTTTTTAGTACATTTTGTAGCTCTTAATTTTATTTTTGGAAATACATATTATGTTATTGTTTATGTTATTATTAGGAACAGTGTTAATTTTCCTTCCATTACGCAAATAATAATACTTTTTGCAGTAAAATTTGTGTGATCCGAAGAGGTTAGTATTATACATTCGCTTTCCTTTACCAATATAAAGATGCATTAAGCAAAAAAAGAAAACATTTTTGTAAAGGGAGAGTTGAGATAGCGATGAAAATTTTACACGTGAAAACAAAACATTTCTCTAATGTGATTTAAAAGTTTGTTTCCTTTGTTTTATAAATTTTTTCTTCTACATTTTTTAAAAGGAGAGCGTACTAAAATATAAGTTTATTTCTGCAAGACATAGAAATTTTGTCTTTTTTACTTTGAGAATCTCATTTTTGGAGTCATGATATTTTTTCCTTTGCATCATGGAAGTCTTTTATAAATAATAGCTATGAAGAGACATATCAACATTTTTTGAAACCAACAATTCAAAAATAATATTCTTGAAATCAACATTTCAAAATAAAAGATATGTGGAATCTTTTTTAAACAAGACTGCAGAGACAAATTTGTTCCCCATAAGATTTTCATAACTAACGAGTAACGTTAACGCCAGGTTAAAAAAAATTCGTTTTAACAGTCACAATTTTTCTGGCAATTTTCTATCCGAAACTGCATTCAATTTTTAAAAACTGCATCAATTTTTCTGTTCTAAACTACATTCTCTTAAATTAAAAGTAAACTTTTTTTTAAATAGATAAAGTGATAGAAGGATGCAAGTCTTTTATAGTTAAAGAGGTATTTTGAAGGCGAGATGCGTGTAGAATCCAAGAACGTTTTTTGCCTTTTATTTTAATTTAGCAAAGGTACTGTTTAAATTTATTTATTCTGATCCGTAACTCGTGTAAAGTGCAACTTGTAGATAAGCAATGGTCTATTAATCATTTTATACAATTGTTTTCTGTCTAAAAAATTATCCATTGTATTTTAACAACTAAGAAGAAAAGTAAAAACATTCTTGTATCAATTAAGATTGACGTTGTTATTGTTCATTTATCCCCTATAAAGATGGCTTCAAAGTTTCATACGCCAAAACCACCCCTTATGAAAGTTGCTAATTTCATACGCCAAAACCACCCCTTATGAAAGCCGCTAATATAATCAACTCTGTTAAGTAAATAGGTTTTTTATATTTCATTTTATAGTGATATTTTTAAAATATATTAAAATATTTAATATTTATTTGTTTATTTTTTTTTAATTTATTGTTTATTTTTAATTAATATTTTATTATTATTATTATTATTATTATTATTATTATTATTATTATTATTATTATTATTATTATTATTATTTTAATAAATTTTTATTAATTTTATTATAATTTTTAATTATTATTATTTTTACATTAAATTTATTATTTTATATTTTTATTAAATATATATTGTAAAAATGACGTTATTATTTAATAATAATATTATTTTTACAATATATTTAAATATTTAAATTTTTCAAAAATAAATAAGGAGATTTTTACAACACTTTTTACATTAACTGTTTACACCATGGCAAGTGACGCCAAATGCAGAAAACCTTTATCTGATAAAGAAATTTTCAAAACAAACCTTTAAAATTTTGAAGCAACCATCAATAAACTACTTAGATTAAACTGACAATCAAACCTTTGTTGATTTATATTTTTCGAAGCGGCATTTTTTAAAATACTTATTTCGATTGTAACTTTGTTTATAGATAAATATTTATTGCCAAATTAATTTTTTGTTACATTTTTTAATAAGTTTTTAAAACGTGGTAATAGTTGTTAAAATATGCTCTATTAGATATTTTTATGCAATATACCTTTTAAATTATAATGTATTTCATAGTTTCTTTTAAATTATAATGTATTTCATTGTACCTTTTAAATTATAATGTATTTCATTGTACCTTTTAAATTATAACGTATTTTATTGTACGGAACAATGTGAATGAATAATGAAATACATTATAATTTAAAAGGTACAAATCGTACCTTTTAAATTATAATGTATTTCATAATACTTTTTAAATTATAATAAATTTCATAATACCTTTTAAATTTTAATGTATTTCATAGTAATTTTAATCATGATGGCTTAATTATTAGATTTTCATTTACTGGGAACAAGTAATAATGTGTTTATAAACACTTAAGATGACACTTTTGAAGATGTTTTGAATTCAAGAGTTAGAGGAAAAAATCTCGTCAGCCCTGAATAGTAATTTATATATATATATATATATATATATATATATATATATATATATATATATATATATATATATATATATATATATATATATATATATATATATATATATATATATATATATATATATATATATATATATATATATATATTATAATAATGTTTACTATGTTTATAAAATATTTTTATATTGATTTTAAAATATTTAGAATATTTAAATATAGTCCAGTAATTCTTTTTTAATGAATTTTTATTAAAAGTATAGCTAAAAATATAAATACATTTTTTTTTTTAAATATAAATTTACGCACTCTTATTATAACAAATTTACAGCTATAACAGATAATTTTTTTCTTATATTTTTTCATTAAAATTGCACAAACATTCTTAATCTCCCCTTAATAATGATACTTAATAATAAAAACAACCTTAATACTGAATAAAATCTACTTTAGTATTTTTTGCATCAAATTATTTATTGGTACCGATAAAATAATGTATAGAATCGATAACACAAAGCAAAGTACTATTATATCTTTTGTATACGCAGTAGAAAAGTTGAAAGCAGAGTGTTTAATAAAATAAAGAAAATAAATGTCGCGACAACTTGTTATAACACAGTTTATATAACATTTTATGGAGATTTTTTTTTTTTTTTCATAAATTCTTTATTACAAAGGTTTAATTGAATCATTTAAATCATTTTTACATAAACATTCTAACATTAGAAATTAAAAAGTTGTCGGCGTTAATGTTAAAGTAAAAACACATTTTAACGTAAGAATGTGTCTTACCAACAGTACTAAAGTATCAAAGCATCTAGTTGTTGTGAGTAACTTATTTACACAAAAATAATTTAATAAATAATTCTTTTAAAACCGTAAGTTTGTGCAAGTTTTTTTTTCCGGATTAAAATTACTTTATTAGATGATTCATAAAACAATAATCTGTATAACCGAACAGGTTTTTAGTTAACTAACTAGTTTTAGTTAACTAAATAGTTACTTATAATTTTTTTTGTCCAATAATTATGATTTTATTGCTTTAGAAAAATATATCAAAAAACTCGTTGAGTGTTTCAATATGTGTTTTGTTTTCTCCCAATTTATTAACGTTAATTACAAACAACTAAATTACCTAAAAAAAAATTTTTTTTTTCAAAGTTTAAAATTGATTTTAATTATTTTTTATTTTAGTATCTAATTTTTTTAATGCCTGTTTTAGCAGCTGCTATGGTTACAAATATTATTTTGACAGCTGACAAAATTTTATTTGGTTGCAAAAAATCTATTCCTTCATATTTATTCTATATTTAAATAAACAGTGGTGTTGCAAGGGTCAGTTACGTCTGGGGCCAAAATAAAACAATATCGTCTTTTTATTGTACAAAATTAATTTTTTTAAGAAAACACTTTTTAAAATAAATAAGTTTTTTTTCTTTTTTGCATTTTTTTTTTCTGTATGCAAATGATTAAAGTGGCTTTAATCGTTTGTATCTAAAACAAAAGCACCTTCAATCCCCGTCTCGCCAAGCTACTGTACATATATTTATTTATTTTATACAAAATATGGTTTAATTTAAATCCTTTATTAAAATTTATTTTAAAAGTTGATTATAGATTGATTATTTTGATCAACTTTATTATAAACACGAATTTAAGTTTCATTATTGTAAATATTTTTAGCATAATTGACATTATTATTTGTTATTTCTAGATTTCATGTGATTTGTAATTCGAGCGTTTAAAATCATGTAACTTTTATATCCTGAACTCCGTAAAATGTAGACGCTTTTATCCCACATCATTAGCGTATTTTATCTGTACGCAAAATAACTTGAATCGGGAGGAGTACAGTAAACTTTAAAAACTAAACAATCTTTAAAAAAAATAATTATTAAACAATTAGAAAATTAGTTAAATAAAGACAACTGATTTTTGGTTGTAAAAATAAAGCTTAATTACAACATTTTGCATTTATATTTTCCAATTGAAAGAAAATTGTTTTGGAGTCTTTTTTGAGAGCTTTTCGAGTTTTTGAGGACAAAATTTTTTTTTTTAAGTTTAGCTTCCTGTTTGTTTTTTTTTTTTTTAAGCTACATGTTTTAAGCTACATAACTGTTTTCTTGTTGTTTTTTTTTTTTTTTTTTTTTTTGGGTTGAAAATATTTTTAACAAAAAAAAGGAAGAGGGGGCGTAAAACTTGAATACTTAGTTAAATATTAAACTTTTAGTCTAGGAAATATTTATAACGTCTGATTTTTGATATTTAGACATTGTTGTATAGTTTTCAAATATTTTTTTTTTCAAATAATTGTTATTCTAAATTCTTATTATTTAGTTATATAGTAGTATACTGAACATAGTTCTTTTTTTTTTCAGATAATTTGATCCAACAATGAAATCATCATTGCACACGTTGTTAAACAATGCTTTTTATACTCCTATACCAACTTCATTTTTTAATCGTACTATACCTAGTTCTGACAGTTCATTGGCATCTATTTCCGTTAATCGGTCGTCATTTTATATACCTGCAATTATTGGTGGCGCATTTCTTAGCATTATAACAATAGCAGGAAATCTTTTGATTATTTTGGCATATTTTAGAAACGAAAAAATTAGAAGCATATCAAACGTTCCAATACTTTCATTGGCATTTACAGACATGTTCATTGGATTTCTTCCTGTAACCATGAACATTATGGAAATGTCTATGGGGTACTGGCCTCTGGGAAAAGAATTTTGTAATGTGGCACTTGTTTTAGATTACGTGTCAATTCAGTCTTCAATAAATCATATTGTTTTAATTAATTTTGATCGGTATCTTTCAATAAGATCTCCAATGAAACATCGATTACACCAAAAAACATCAAAAGTCATTACTAAATTATTCACAGTGTGGTTAATAGCTGTAATAATATGGGTACCATATATTAACATTTATAAACACAAGGTAAGGAGCAGCAATTTAGATGATAGACAATGCTACAAGCAGTTTTCTAAAGTTCAAGATTTTAACTTTAAAAGATACGCTTCTATTACAACGTCATTAATAGGATACTTTCTACCGCTCGGAATCGTAATTATAACTTACTGGAAAATGTATTTTATTGTTAGACAACAACTCTATGAAGTGCCTAAATTTTGTCATGCTATAAATGCTGAAAATAAATTTTCTGCAGAAACGACTAAGTGGAAACAGCCACCTCCATTGTCCGATGAAATGCCAGATAATACTGGCGATATGCAAAAAAATCTAGATTTAATAAAGAAACGAAAGAGAATACTTAGACATAAAAAAGCATTGCGTATGATTGCAAGCATTATATCAGCTTTTGTAATTACTGGGTTACCTCTTAATGCACAATGGCTATTGGTTGGCATGTGCACATCATGTTATAACAAAACATTATTCGACATATTTAACTTTTTAACATATCCAAATTCTACAGTTAATCCTTTTCTTTACGCATACGTAAGTCGAACATTTCGTCTAGAGTTTAAAAAGTTATTACTCTGTAAATTTTTAAGAAATTATTTTTCTGATTCTAAAGAAAAACACGTCAATTATCGTGTAAACTATAATGCAAAAGAACTATCAAGAAGCGAATCGACGTAATTTACGTGAGCTTATTCATGTTAAAGGAACAATCACTAAACGAATCAGCGTAACTTACATGAGTGTATTTACGTTATAGATTGAATTTTACTTGAGCATTCCAGTAGGCACGCGTCGTCGGGGGGACGTTTTCGGACGTCCGTAAGACGTCTGACGACGTTCACCGGACGAAGCATGCCCATTGGGAAGCGTTTTAATTTAATTCATGTTATAGCATGCAATTTAAACGAGAACAACAACTCATACATGTACAAACATATCATTTTCTGAAAAGAATCAAAAAAAAATTTTTTTTTGAAAAATATTATTTAATTTATTTAGCTTTTGAATCATAACTATTTTGTAATTTTTCCTACTTAAAATTTAGTTTTTATTAAAAAAAATCTATATTTAAATTTATTTTTAAATTTTTCAAAAAGATTACAGTTTTTATAATTTTTTTTCTAAAATGATAATTTTTTCTTCTTTTTTTTTTATCTTTTCTTAAATGTCGAATTTTAAATTTAATTGTTTATTGTAAATTTAATTGAAGGCAAATTGTAGTTTTGATTTAAGGAAAGTCTTTAGAAATTGAGTTTTGTGTTTGAAAAAAAGTTAGCGAAAGGAAGAAGCTATCTTTTGTTAGTGAAATTAAAAAGCAAAATGTTTTTAAACCTAAAAATAATATACATTTAAACAAATTTACGTTGTTTGTGCAGCAACGATGTGGTTAGTTGGCTACATTTTTTATGTAACTAAGCGCAGTATTTAAGTTTGTTCTTATTTTAGTAATTACCTGTTTAAACTTTTTTTGTTCCAAATTTTAAAGAAGATAAAGTAATAAGTTTCTTCAATACACATCAAAAAACATTTTTATAAAGTAAAATTTTTATAGAAGTTTTTATAAAGAATAATGAAAATAACACTTGGTTTTTTGAGCAATTAAGGCAAATCGCGTATAGTTGTTAAATATTATGCAGTCACTGAAACCAACAATAAAAATGGAAATAAACCCCTCACTTTTTTTTTTTTTTTTTTTTTTTTTTTTTGTAAATTAAGTGTTTTTTTTTAAGTAATATTAAAATACGATAGCTTTTTATTTTAAAAATAAAAAATATTTTTTTATAAAAAATTTTATTTTGTATTTTATAGATAAAAGAAGTTAAAAAACATGACGTAATTTACAATAATGACATAATTTACAAAAAATCCTGAAAAAAAGTGAGATTTTTATTTAATTTAAATGAAGGCAATTTAACTTAAATAAAAACATATCTTTACTTTTACGAAAGTCTTTTGACTCTATATATTTCATAAACATAGTCAAAAGATTATCTCTAAAGTATATATACCCGGCTTTGCATCCATTTAAAACAAATATGACATCCATTTAAAAACAACCATGACATTTATTAAAAACATCATGACAATCAATTAAAACAATTTTATAACATTTAACGCCTGCACAATGTAAACATTCTATATTATTCAAAAAAAAGGTTTTATTTATATAATTTATTAAATATTATTTAAACTTATTTTTATTAATATTATACTTATTTATTTTAATTTAATGGAACTTATTTTAATTTTAAATGGATGCAAAAACCGGTATATGTGTGTACGCCTAACTTGGAAAATACACTGAGAAACTTGATGTTTCTATAAAAAAGAATAGATGAATGAAAGAAAAAAAGATAAATTGTGAAAGAGTTCGAATCACGGCCTTTCCAGTTTCGAAAAGAGAAAAAAAAATGGGTCTTTTAGAAAAAAAGTGTGTATATATATATATATATATATATATATATATATATATATATATATATATATATATATATATATATATATATATATATATATATATATATATATATATATATATATATATATATATATATATATATATATATATATATATATATATATATATATATATTATAGGGTAATTATAAAAGAAAAAATTCAAACGGTGCTTTCACAAGCCAGCAGCAAGTTCTGTTTTGAAGGGAAAAAAAAGTGTAGGTGCAGCTGCTAAAGAATTCGAATTCTTTGAATCCATGGGATATTCAAAACCAAGAATAATTTTTTCCCAAGAGTAAGAAAGCGCTTTAAAAAATTATTTATTACAATTGGCATCTATATTTTACGGTTATACTCCTAAAGATATTCCTTCTCTTGCCAATGAGTGAGCTCTTCAATTCAAAATCAAAATACCAGATTCTTGGACAGTAAATAAGATGGCTGGTAAAGAGTGGATGACTAGTTTTTTAAAAATAAATCTTTAATAATCTATAAGAAAACCTGAAGCAACTTGCATTGGTTGGGCAACATCATCTAACGCTGCATTAAGTGTTTTTTGCTAAGCTAGATAAAGTTATGGGTATATACAAATTCAGTGCTTCACAAATATGGAATGTTGACGAAACTGGTGTATCTACAGTTGTAAAACCTAGTAAAATTGTGGCTGCAAAGGAAAAGAGAAATGTTGGTGCTATGACATCTGGGAAACGAGGCACTAATGTCACTATGGTAACCGCTGTATCTGGCTCAGAAAATACAGTGCCTCCAATGTTTATGTTCCCTCGCAAAAATTACAAAGATTTTTTTGTTAATAATGGTCCACCGGACTTTATTAGGGTAGGTAATCGAAATGGCTGGGTTCCAGATATTGAATTCAAAAATTTTATGCAACATTTCGTTAGGCATGTGAAGTCTTCAAATGAATATAAAATTCTATCTACTTTGGACAATCACTCTTCTCACTTGCATTGTAAAACGCTAAACTTAGCAAAGTAGAATGGAATAGTCATGTTGTTTTTTCCGCCACACTGCAGCCATAAGCTGCAGCCACTAGATGGATAAGTGTTTGGACCTTTTAAAAAGTACCTTTCAGTTGCACAAGATGCATGGCTGACAAACAATCCTAGAAAAGCCATAACGACTTATGATATACTAAAAATTGTATCTGATTCATTGCCATTAGCTATAACGTGTACTAACATTACAAAATGTTTTCAAAAAACTGGTGTATGCCCGTACAATGCAAACATTTTTGCTGCTGATGATTTTTTACCATTATATGTCACAGACCATATAGAACCAGCAAATCTTATTTCTGAGCTGTTACACAGAGCTCATTCTGAAGTACGTTTAACATCATCTTCAGGTCAACCTGTCAAAAATAGTATTAGTGAAGAGACAACCTTACTTGTTCCTGAAACTCCTAAAGCATTTTCTCCAAAAACTGTGTGACCTTACCCAAAAGAAACATCAAGAAAGATACATTTGATGAGACAAAGAAAAAGGAAAGCTAACAGATACTCCAGAAAGAATTATATTAAAACAACAGCAAACTAAGAAACTTAAAAAAATTGAGAAACAAAAAAAAATTATCTACCTGTCAATCCCGTTCAAATATTAATAAAGAGTGTGGTAATAATGAGACTCAGTTACATAGTATTTTTAAAAAAGTTAAGAAACAAATCAACAAAAAAACTTAGAAGAAAGAATTTTAAAGAAACCAAAAAAAAGTTCTGCTTGTCAAACCTTTGAAGATTATGGTAATAAGGAGACTTAGTTGTTTAGTATGTTAAAAATAAGTTAAAATACAATCAAACAAAAAAATTAAGATGACAAAAAAATTAAAGACAAGTCCAGAACACGGTTATGCTTGTCTTGTATGTTCGGAAACTTATTCTAAAAGTCTACCAGAAGTAAATTGGGTCCAGTGTCAAGGTTGCAATCAATGCTCTCATGCAAAATGTGATTCCCATTCTGGTAAAAATTATATTTGTATTACCTGCAAAATGGAAATTGAAGACTAACAATAAGTGTTTAGCTATTGTTTTACCATAATATAAACTAGTTTTATTTTAAAATGTGTTGAAATAGTTGTGTTTAGTTTTAAGATTAAAAAGTTTTGTTTTGTTTTTATTTTAGTCTCAAAAGTATTAGTTTTTATATTAATCTTAAATAATTAGTTAAAATTGAAAGTATATATTTAATTTATAAGGAGGTTATGTTTTGGTTTTATGACAGAGTTAATACTTGTCACAGAAACGCATTCATCTTTTATTGCTTAACTTACCCCACACAATTACTCAACTTACCCTGCTGGGGTAGGTTGCTTAGACTTAAGACTATATTTTCTAAAACAAATCAAAAAAAATTTTTTTGTCTCAAGCATTTTTTAGCAGATCAAATTATCTTTCTAATTGTGAAAAATTGAAAAATCTCCTTGATAAAACATAATACTTTGATATTTTGTAGAAAAATTATAGTTGATATAGACTGCCTATTATGTCACAAATATCATCCCTTGAAAAAGTAATTATTTAGTGCTTTGATACAGTATTGCAGACTGTGTTAATCACTGATTCTATTTTTTTTTTTTTTATTACTATATTTTTGAAAGGTATATATTTTTTTTGTTTTTAAAATATTAATAAATACAATTTCTCTCAATACTAATAATTTTATTATATAAACTTTTACTGGGTTTTGGATACTAGCATCATCTCTAAAATCAATACATATAGGTTTAATGTGAAATTTTTTTTTATAACAGTTTAAAATTACGTTTAAAAATCTTTTTTAAAATAATATAAAAAATTCTTGTTATAAATTGTTAAGTAACATTAAACAAAATATATTTGATATAAAGTTAAAAATTATACTAGTTTTCAATATCATTTGACAGATGCCTAATAAAACCTCAGAAAAAAACCAAATTTATCCAATAAAACCCAAAAGTACCCAAAAAAACCACTCGGCCGGTTTTTTTTTAAAAAAAAACCGGGCTTTTGCAGACCCTGGTTACAGTTTACCGTAATTCGGAAAGTAAAAGAATTATTATTTTTTGTTTAAATTATTTGCTTTATAAACATTTTTTTGATTAAAAATTTATGTTTTGCAATACTTTAATTAAACTACTCGTCTGTAATGAAATGGTTATTATTACCAAAACTAAGAGGATATATTTATCCAAATTGCGTTGAAACTTGAGTTGAAACTTACGTTAAAACTTGCGAGAAACAACCATGTTTTTTAATTAGAAATAATTGCATGACAAACTTTATTTCTGAGCAATAAATAAAAAAACGGCAAGATTTGAAGACCATTCAATCAAAATATATAATAATCCGACAGTTTAAATTTCTTATTGCATTTAAAATAAAGTGAGTTTTTATTTTTTTTTATTTTATGAGATTTATACATAGGGGCTATTTGGAAAGCATATTGGGGTTATTTGGATATTTTTAAAAAGCTAAATACTGTCTTTTAATTGTGAAAGTAAAACTTATGATTTGTATTTGTGTGTGTGCGTGTGTGTGTGTCTATATATATATATATATATATATATATATATATATATATATATATATATATATATATATATATATATATATATATATATTATATATATATATATATATATATATATATATATATATATATATATATATATATATATATATATATATATATATATATATATATATATATATATATATATATATATATATATATCCCAGACAGCAAGCTTACATTGGACCAATGTTGGACCAATGCATGGTGATGCATTGGCCCAACGTTGAAAGTCGATGTTGGCCCAATGCAGGTTTGATCATTGGTTAGGTATTGGCCCAATGTTGTATACAACGTTTACCCAACATTGGCACAACGTTGTATATAACGTTAGGCCAATATTGTAAACAACATTGGCCCAACGTTGTATACAAAACTGGCCCAATATCGTATGTTATACGATTATTATTTTTATATTGGCCTAACGTTTTATGCAACATTAGATTGTTGTTACAAATAAGATGATTTGCATCGCTACATTAAAAAATTATAGAGAAAAAAAAGAATGTATTATACAAGTATAAAAATTTATTTATTAAACATAATTTCTCGGTTAAATATACATATTGCAAACACCAAACTTATACCAAAAACTGACACATTGAGTTTTAAATAAAAAATTCACTGTAAAATTTATAGAGTAGTTTCGATATTGACTGAGCTACTTGTTATTGAATCGTGTTTAGCTTATGATATTTGGTGCCCACGATTATTATTTTTTCTTCTGCTATCTCTATCACATGTCTGCATAAGCCATGCTTAATTGACTTCACAGTTTCTGCAAAAAAAAATAGTTGTTTGTTTAATTATGCACCAAAGAAACATAACAAATTGAAAGTAATTCTGTAATACAAAATTGAAACTGAAAAAATAAACTTTTCCAAACCACTTACCAATAGCAGCATATGCAATCAACATTATTCCTATTCCAATTTTTTATCCTCTCCCTGTATAATTTAATTTTACAGCTAGGCCATTTTAATAAACTATTCTTAGTAAATAACAAATACAATCTCCTTCGTCTTTAACTTCAATTTGTGCCAAATAATTAACTTGCAAAAATACACAGCCTGGCAGTAATTAAAGTAGCTTTAGTTTAGACTTAAATTATTATAAAATGTCATTTACAAAAAATCTTCGAAGAGTATTTTATTTAAAGTATATAAATTGTACTACATATCATACTAAATGCATAAACAGATCATAAAAAAAATATTTACCATTTACTGAAGTGTTTTCTCGTCTTTTTTCTTCCAGAGTACTTGAATTCTTCACTGCTTTTAATGGCAATGACATTCTTTCAGGCAATACAATAATTAGCATACCTTTGATACTCAAATTTTTATAACTGAATTTGATGTATTTTGTAGTTCACCAAGTTGCACTGCTTGCCCATTGTGCCAATAATACCAGCATATCTTTCAAGGATACAACTTTATCTTGAAACAATAAAGTTAATTATATTATTAAAAAACTATACAACTAATTATATATTATATTTAGAATTTATGAAAGTAAATAGAACAATCACTAATAAAACAGATAAAATTAAAGACAGAGGGCCAAACTTTTAATGATCAAAATATATAGTTGCTAATGGATTCATAATATTTTTATGAATTATGAAATTTGCAGGTGTGCATTCAATTTCTGGGACTGACACAAAACAATTCTTATTAATGTTTGAGATATTAGTATAGATCTTATTATACATGCTAGTATGGTTCTTCTTATTAAGGATGATTAAGAATGAACACTAAGAAAAACATGTTTCAGAAAAAATAAATTAGTAGCAATAAAAAAAAACATAATAGCTTAATTGAGCGCTGTGTTTTGAAAATGTGACAAGTCACAAAATTAAAATTTTACAGAAGAGTAAAAAACATTTTTCCTAAAAAAAATTTTGTTTTTTAACTAAAAATTATTTTTTTTATCAAAAAAAATCTTTATTTTATCTAAAAAATCTTTATTTTATCTAAAAAATCTTTTTTTTATCTTATAATTTTATCTTTTACTAAAAAAAATATTCTTTTCAAATAACCTCAATTTTAAAAAGTGTGACTCTTCACGTTTTCAAAATACAGCGTTCAATTGCAAAATGAGTAACTTCTTAACTAGAAATACTGACTTTTCCATGACTATCTAAAAAAAAAAAAATAATTCCCTGACTTTTCCAGGTTTTCCACCACTTTGGCCAATATTAACACATTTTACAGATTTTCCAGGTACAGTACAGACCTTGTCCAATGTTTAAATATAATTTTTTCTTACATATTTTAGTTCTGAATTTTAATAATACAATTTAAAAAATAATATCATCTATAAAAATATTGTATTACCTTTGTCTATTAGATAAATTTAAATAAACGTTTATATAATAAATAACAATGAACCACCAGCAACTGTTAAAACTTTAAACTGATATGAATAGTCTGTTGTTTTTTTCAACAGTTGATTTCAAATGGATTTCAAAGTTGGTGACTTTGAAATCCAACAAAAAAATTTTACACTCTGACTTTTTGACCGTAATATATGAAAAAGTCTTTAAAATTGTAAAAGTTAAAGCTATGAATAAAGATTTTCAATCATCAGACGTAAAGAATTTTATATAAAAACTTACCATTTAATAAATTTTGTTCATTTAACTTCTCAGAGTAAACATTGAACTTCTGTAAAGAGTTTGTAGTTACAGGTAAATCCCAAAGTTTAATAATATTTTTAGTTTTATTATAAGAAATTGAGAATAAATCTTCTACACCAAGATATACACAATTTTTTGTCTCTTTAATCTTTATTTTGTCTGGTTAATTTCGCTATCTTCCTTTTTTGTCTCCAGAGCAGAAGTTTAGCCTTCTGCTAAATTCAATCTTGTATTGCTATAAAAATCTATAAATCAAATTATTAATAATTAAGTTATAAAGAAAGTTAATGTATAAGCTTAAAGTTGTTAACTGCTGTATGCAAACTAATTATGAAATATATCCAGAGATATTAAATTAAAAATTATAAAACCAAGAATAATGTCCCTCTGCCTCAGAAAGATGGAATATATAAAGGGTTGTTTCAATTTAAATCATGATTTAAATCAGACAAATAAAAATAATGATTTAAATTGAGTCTTTTTATTTCAATTGATTTTAATGATTATTTATTGATTTAATCTCATAATTCAATAAATTATTATAGACTAGTCATTGGTCTTAAAACAAAATGTCTGGCAATATTAGAAAGCTCTACATAAGTAGAATATAAATTCTAATAACATCACTTTTTGTACACTGTTTTAATATTTTAGTAGATGGGGTTTCACAATCAAACAAAAAAGACATACTTAAAATGTAAAATATCAGCTTCTAACAACTTCAATGCCACATATATATTACTGATACCTTTAATAATATATCTTATAATAGCTATATAATCTAAACTATTATAAATAAATTATGAAAAAAATTTTTTTTTCAATACTTATACTGTATGACATTTCAAATGTTTGATAATATTTAATAAAGAAGAATACAAAATAACTTCTTTATTAAATAAATCGAACACCTGAAATGTTACATTTATTTAATAAAGATTATTAAATAAATCAAACATTTGAAATGCTAATACAGCAATAAGTATAAAAAATAACTTTAAGATCTTAAACAAAAATAATTTAATTATTACCTTTATTATTACATTAATAATTTACATTGTAGTAAAAAATGTTTCAAGAATATTATTTAACTGTTAACAAATATTTCATTATTAAAAAAAAAAAAAAAAACATTAAGTCACGAGAATCTCTTGAAATTTATTTCATATAACGAACCTTTTAAGATTCTTAGAAGATTCATAAATATAGCTTCTTTTTTTTATATATATAATTTTAAAAAATGGAAAGATAATATCAAAACCTTTTTTTATTCTGTCAAACGATACCATTTTTAAAAATGTTTTATAAATATTTACTAATCCGCAACTACATTGGCCGAATATTGGCAACGGCTTAAATGCAAAAACAGATTTTTATAGTAAAATATTAAGCCTAAACTACATTGGCCAAATGTTGGCCCAACGTAGTACGATAATTACAAAAAACCGATTTGTAGAATTACAATATTACGCCGAAGAAAAAACATTGGCTAAATGTTGGCCCAATATAGTACGATATTTGCAAAAAACCGATTTGCAGAATTGAAAATAATACGTCGAAAAAAAACATTGGCTAAATGTTGGCCCAACGGAATAAACTTGCCAATGTTAAAACTTACGTTGGGCCAATGTAAGTATGCTGTCTGGGATATATATATATATATATGTATATATATATATATATATATATGTATATATATATATATATATATATATATATATATATATATATATATATATATATATATATATATATATATATATAAATGTATATATATATATATATATATATATATATATATATATATATATATATATATATATATATATATATATATTTATATATATATATATATATATATATATATATATATATATATATATATATATATATATATATATATATATATATATATATATATATATATATATATATATATGTATATATATATATATATATATATATATATATATATATATTTTTTTTTTTTTTTTTTTTTTTTTTTTTTTCGAACATCGCATTAGCAATAAATTTTTAAAAGTTTTAATAAAAATCACAATATTTTTTATTCTTGACATGTTTCGTAGTTTTACTACATTTTCAAAAGATTTAATTTACAATTAAAACTCTGGTAAATAAATTTAAAAACTGAAGACAATACAGAGAAAAAATTAACGGACAAATAAACTTGTTACAAACCAATTAAAAATTATATTACAAATTATGACAAAATAAACTTCCTAATATTAAAATATTAATAATAATAATATAGTAAGTTAGATAGATAAATTTATAATATAATGAGATGTTTGCTTATTTAAAAAAGGATTTTCTCATTTAATATGAAGTGCTTCTTTTATTTTTAATTTGTTAATGGTAGAGGCAGTATCCGAAATCTGAAAGCAATCATAATTAGTTAGTGTTTTACAATTAATGGATGAATTTAAATGTTTAAAAATATGCGATTGCTTGTCACTCGTAAGATGCTCATTTATCCTTGTTATCAAATGTCTGGAGGTTTCTCCAATATAACTGGCGCTACAGCCAGCACAAGAAAATTTGTAGACAACGTTAGATTTAAGCAAAAACTGTTTTTTAATTTATCGGTTGTGAATATAAATTTGATTATTACATTTTAAAATCAATGTACCCTTTATTTTGCCAAATAAAGGGTACAGTGATTTTATAAGAAAAGACATGATAATTAAAGAAGCTCATCTAGTTAAAAGTGGGAATGTTTTTTTTATTTGTTTAATAAAGAAGATGAAGAATTACCCCAGTGCCGGGGTTATTTGGAAATGCGTTAAAAACGACTTCACTCCTCAATTATAAAGTATAGTTTGTCAAATCTTGAATAAAAGTTTAGCCTGAACTTAGTTTTATCCAAAACAAATTTTGCGATAGTAAATAACTATAAAACAAGTGATCTATACTTATGTTTTTACTTCTTTCCAAATAGCCCTGATTTATAAAATATATAAAATTGTAGACTGTGGTTTGTTTGCTTTGGCATTCGCAGTTATAGAAGTATATATAGTTATAGAATACTTAAATGAGTTTCTAAAGACTGGAAAATTGGCTAGGTTTTGCAAAGAAAAAGAATTTGATTTTACTCTTTATTGCGTATGTTGGCAGTTTGGATAGCTTCTGATCAAGTTGTCAAAGATAAGTAAGTGAATTAGTATTTAAATTATATTTTAGCTTTTTAATCTAATTTGTTACACACACAAATATACACACACACACACACTCATTTATTATTTTATTTCTATTCACAATTTTTTGACTATAATTTTTTTATGGTTTGATACATTTAGGCACATGGTGCAATGTGAAAAATGTGAATGTTTGTTTCACCGTGAGTGTTGAATGGTTTTGTTCGCAATGCACAATAACTTTACCATGTTTAAAAAATTAAAAAGATAAATTTTGAGGTATCATAAAAAAGATTTTTTTTTTAAAAAAAAAAATCTTTAAATCATAATCCCTTGTGATATTTGAACAAAATTTTAAATACGTTTTTTAGGTAAAATGAAAATCATAGTTTAATAATATGATCTGTCCTGATCGTTTATTGGCAATTTTTCTTAATTATAAGCTCTTTCTTGGTCGGAATTCTAGTATTTTTTGTGAAAGTTGATGATAATGTTGTGTTTTGGCTACTATATATAGTTAATATACGTCAGAACCGATTGGAACTAGAATCTATTGTAAATTAGGCACTTTTTCAAAAGATTTTAACTAAATTCATGTTAACGCCGATGAGCGAAAGTGATCTAAAGACTCCAAAATAGGTACTCTGTTATGGATGGTAAAAAGGTTTTGAAATTTATATAAAAAAAAGTTTTTTTTAATATTAAATGAAAACGAAGCAAAACAAATTATACCATCTAAGGCTCTTGTTTGGACATAATACGTTAATAAAACCAACTTAATTCTAAATAAAAGAATTCGAATAATTTGTAAATCGCCTTAACAACACCGAGTGTTTTTAATTTAGTAAATTTATATAATGTGAAATTTACTCTATCAATCATCAGATAACAGTAAGGGAGGAATTGGAATTCTACATAATTAAGATAAAAATGATTTTGTTTACTGGTATTACTAATAGTTACCTGTGGTAACATTACAAAATCAGTTTTTTATGGTTGTTTGTGTTTCAGCTCTTTAGTGCTACACTGTAACATTGATGACAATAACAAAAACAACATATTGCTTTGTTATTGTTATAATAAATAGTAGCTTTTATAATGTATTTTGATACTATTCCTTGCAACAACACGTTTTTGCTTTATGATTCAGTTGTATCCTTGTTTCATCTATGTTCCAAATACATTTTGGTTTGTTAAATAAGTTCTTATTTTGCATCAGTTCTTCCAAAGGTGTGAAATATTTTAAAATTTTTCCCGTTTATATATGTTTGTGGCAAAAAACATGTCGCTTCTAGATAACGAAGACTTACACAAACATGCCTCTTTTTAAGTACTTGTAACCAGTTTTCAAGATTTTTAAAATTTTATCTTTTTTTTTTTTTTTTTTTTTTTTTTTGTTAACTTAGCAGCATAATCAATAAATATTATTTTCAAAAACAGGTTACCATTTGGACATGGTTGCCAGCGTAATATTTTTTTCAAGATCACCTATGATTGGCTTTTTCACTGGTTTATGCTACTATTTTAGATTTTCCATAGATCCTGCATAGTCGATCGTGGAAATTTGTTGTATTTACTATTTGCTGAGACATACCTATTAAAACTACATGTATTAACAGTTTCATATTAGAATCTGTCTTCAGCATGCATTTTGATGTTTATTGCCGTATTTGTTAATATCTATTAAATTAGTCTACAAATTACTGAAAACTGTAAAATTATATAGAAAATGCCTTGATATAAATATTTGCAGTAATTTACAATTTTTTCTTGGTTTAAAGACGTTATTGATTAATGAAAAGCAAAAAATAAGGAAATTAATTTTGCTAAATTTGAACTATTTAAAAATAAAGTTAGCAATAAAAATAAATAACCAATAATTTTGAGGTCATAATTTCCATTGCTATGTTTAAATAAGTGCGTTTAAGCCGTAGTGCAGCGGTTAGGGCGCTTGCCTCAAAAGCTAGAAATCCGTTGTTCTAAACCACCTCTAGGCAAGTTTTACAACTTTCAAATGCTCATCCACGGTATTCTGTGAGAAGATTGCAAGGGCATCTTAAAGCACCTAAAATAAAAAATTAAAAAAACAAGTCTCACTCGCTACAACCTTGCTAGGACACTTTTGGCTTTTTAAATCAATATATTAAATAGTGAGGAGGGGTGAGTGGGGGTAGTGGGAACCCGTAAAAAATACTATTTCTTAAAAATAAAAAAAAAGGTCTTTAAAAATTACAATTCGCCTAACTTAATTGTGTCAAATACCCGACAAGCCGACTAAATTCGTCCAAAAACCGACTATAACTTAAAAATCACCTTCTTTGGTGGAAGGGGTGGGTGGGTGGGTGGTAAAACATCCCCATCCCCCACACATCTTCCCGCAAAAATCGTCTTTGTATGAAATCTGTACGCATAAAAATCTTTATTTCTTTGAAACAATCTACAAAAATCATACAAAATAAAATGTTTTTATTAAAATAAGGATTTATTTTTTGCATTTTTTATGAATATTTTACATTGTAGTTGAGAGAAGTAAAAGCTAGAAATATGTTATACTCAAGCTCAAAAGATATTGCTAACGCGGAAAACATTTACTTTTGTTGTTATACAAAAGTAATAAAGTAAAAGTATAACATAAAAACATTGGCGTTTTATTTATTTATTTTTTTTAAATGTGCGATTCTTACAGGATTATTCATTCTTATATGCGCGTCTATTCATTTTTATATGCGCCTTTATTCATTTTTATATGCGGATTTATTCATTTTTATATGCGCCTTTATTCATTTTTATATGCGCCTTTATTCATTTTTATATGCGTTTTACAAAAACAGTTGTTAAAAAAGCAATTAGAACAAAAAAAATCATTTAAGCAATTTGATTTGAAAAAAAACAGTTTATTTTTTCAAAACAAATTTTTCTTAATTCCAGGTAAACGAGGTTAAAAAAACTTAAAACAAAAACTTTTTACATTCGACGATGGTTTATTTAATTTAGTATTAGTTCTTTGTAATTTTATTATTAAATTTCTCGATTGATTAAGTTATTATTTATCTAATTATTTATTTATCTAGATTTAAATTTAATTATTCATAATTATTAATAATATCAATACTTAATAGATGTAATACTTAATAGCTTTACCATGAGAGGCTAGTGTTTGCCTATAGAAAGGCTCCAGTGGAATTTACAATTGTCCATAACAAGCACCGGCGACTCAACCTTTGCATTCCTAATCGGTGGTGCCATCATTGTAGTTATGAGAGTACAAAATGAATCTTGATTCCAGCCTCCAGTCTTTATTTCATAAGCAAGCATTCTTATTGTTGAAACAGCACAAATTAAACTAACATTCTTACCACGATTTGCAGGTGACTGTAAAATTGCTGGTGTAGCTCTTAGCAAACAACCATATGTGCTGTTAGTGTGCACATTAAATCCAGTTTTATCCAAATAAATAAGTTTTTCACCTGAAGTTCAGCTTATTTCGCTTGCAAATGCATAGCGTGCATTAATAAATGGTGTTGAATTTCGTACTTTGGCACATGCACAACACGTTTTCTTGATAAATCTGAGCGTTTGAGTTTTCTTGAAATAGTAGACTGAGACATGTTGAAGCCTGCTTTAGAATGATATTTTTTTATTGTTTCTTGCGTGTAAAGATTGTTTTCTTGTACGCTTAATTCGATAATATTTTTTATTTGAGAGTTTAATGGTCGTTTACCTCGTTTTTTATTATAAAACGACTTGCGATTTGAAATGCATTCATGTCGTCGAATTATCCTCTGTTTAACTTAACGACAAAATTTTGAACTGCGCGCTTCGATAAATTAAGAGAAGTGGAAATGCTTGTTGTAGATTAATTTCTTTCAATTAAATGCTTAACCATTTCAATATGCTCTTTTGTAACATTTCTCCTTGTTTTACGATTGGTAAAACAATTTTCCATTCCATCCATAAGGATGTATAATTTGATATTAATAATAATTATAAATAATTAAATTTAAATCTAGATAAATAGATAATTAGGTAAATAATAACTTAATCAATCAAGAAATTTAGCAATAAAATTACAAAGAACTAATACTAAATTAAATAAACTATCATCAAAAACAAAGAACTAATACTAAATTAAATACAGGGTTATTCATTCTTATATGCGCATTTATTCATTTTTAAATGCACATTTATTCATTCTTATATGCGTATTTATTTATTCTTATATGTGGTTTACAAAAGCAATTGTAAAAAAGTAATTTGAACAAAAAAAAATCATTTAATAAAATCATTGAAAAAACAGTTTATTATTTCAAAGCAAACTTTTCTTATTTCCTGGTAAACGAGTTTAAAAATACTTATAAGACGAAGACTTTTTACATTCGATGATGGTTTATTTAACTTAGTATTAGTATTATTAACATTACTGAAACAATCTCTTTTTTTTAAAAACTTCTACACGTTTTGAAATTTTTTTTTCATTTACACAATAGTTTCAATTACAATTTCAGTTTCAATTTCAATTTCATTTTCAATTTCAGTTACACAATAATTTCAATTACACAATTTACACAATTTTTTTTTCATTTACACAATTTACACAACATACTTGCGCATTGTTTAAGTAAGACGTGTTTAAAGAGAAGAAAAAATATAATAAAAATATTTATCAAAAACTATTTATGAATATTTATTATAATGAAGATTAATGTTAAAGTGGAACTAATTATCTAATAACACTTCAATCCCAGCAAACAAAAAGATATCTAAAATGCATCTAATATGCATCTAAAAACTGGTCTAAAAGATGTCTAAATTCAGGTCTAGAACGGGACATAAATAGACGTCTATCTTATAGACGTCTTTTAGATGCATTTTATTCGACACAAATAATTGCCTTAGATGCATAAAAGATGTGAAATATACATCTTACAGATGCATATTAGATGTATAAAATACGTCTCTTAAATAGATGTCTAAGGCCCGTTTAAAAAAGATAGATAATAGATAATTTTTTAGCTAATAATAGCTTTTTTATGCATCTAATATACATCTAATATACATCTTTAAATGTATATTTCACATCTTTTATGCATCTAAGGCATTTATTTGTGTCGAATAAAATACATCTAAAAGACATGTATAAGTTAGACATCTATTTATGTCCCGTTCACGACGTGAATTTAGACGTCTTTTAGACCAGTTTTTAGATGCATATTAGATGCAGTTTAGATATCTTTTTGTTTGCTGGGACTTGTTTGATACAAAGGTGTTACAGCGGTTAAATTAGTCATAAAAAAGGATTAAATTAAATAAGTAAAGAAACATTTTAACTAACATTACTTAATTTTTATTTCACAAAAATATACATAAGAAACTATATTTCTGCATTGCCGTCAACATTTTCTTCCACGTCGCCGATATCTAAAATATATACATTAATGACATTTAAATGACTTTAAAAGACATGTAGAATTCTGAATCTATTTTTATGAAATATATATATATATATATATATATATATATATATATATATATATATATATATATATATATATATATATATATATATATATATATATATATATATATATATATATATATAGATATATATATATATATATATATATATATACAGTATCGGACAAAACCAGTGCAACCAAATGATGCTAATTTAGTTTCTTTGTATAAAAGGGCTGAATTTTTTCAATTTAGAGAAATAACTATGTAACTGTTTAGAGACAACGTTCTTCAAATTTTATTCATCACAAAGTTCATTATTTGTACACGAAAATTAATAAATTAATCAAAAGAATTAAAAAAAGTTGATTTCCTTCTGCACAAAACAAGTGCAACTCCACAAAATGTTGACCAAGCTGTATTTTGCTATCAATATTTTGTGGTGAATCCTTTGTTGTCGATCACAGCCTTGCATCTTTAAGGGATAGATTCGATCAGGTGATCAATGAAACTTTGTGGAATCGCTGCCTAGGCCTTTTGGATTTGTTCAAACAGTTGATCCTTATTACGGACACATTCATGATTAACTCTGCGGTTAAAGATCTCCCACAGGTTCTCGATAGGGTTGAGATCCGGAGATTGAGGCGGCCAATCCATCACCAATAGATGGTTGTCTTGAAACCACTGCTTGACTACTTTTGCAGTGTGTTTAAGATCGTTGTCTTGCTGAAAAACCTATTTTATTGGTATATTAAAAAACTTCCGTGACGTTGACACGGACCAGACTTGAGAAAATGAAACAAACCAAAAAAGTTGCACTTGTTTTGTATGCTGCAAAATAGCACTTGTCAACAAAATTCTGCCTGTGTGCTGTCAACTGTCAGCTGATTGCTCATATCATGGCATGCTATGACTCCAGACTCCTGAACTGTTTGCTGTGGTAGTATAGTTCGTTTCGTTTTTAAGACATATAAAATTAGGAACACTTTTTAGCATTGTTCGATGTTACTTGCAAATGTTTTGCCCAATACTGTATACACATATATACATGTATACATATATATATATATATATATATATATATATATATATATATATATATATATATATATATATATATATATATATATATATATATATATATATATATATATATATATATATATATATATATATATATATATATATATATATATATATATATATATATATATATATATATACAAGAAGATTTGTATCTCAACCAGATACAATAATAAACAACAATTTTTTTATGAAAAAACTAAAGGAACTTGTATTATGGATACAAAAATTCTAGCATGACACAAAAAAGTCAAAGAATATCTTTTTAATACAGATATTAGTTTTGTAAATACTATTAAAACTATACCTCCTAAAACACTCCATATATTTACTAGATTTTCTAAGTTTATCTTTTCCCCATTTCCTTTTCGATTTAATTTGGACTGTAACTGATTCGAAAATAACCTGATAAATATTTTAACAATAAACTGAAATATATTTATAAAGATTTTTATTTTAATATATGTAATAAATTAAAATATATTTTAATATATGAATGCTTAAAATTACGAAAAGTAAAAACATTAAATTTGAAAATAAAATGCTAAACAAGGTTTAGCATTACACTTACTTTAGCACACAAACAAACTTAGACACCTACAGTGAAGCTCCCGAGTTTATCATATTGTCATGTTAAACGTAAATCCATAACAAATAACCGTCAAAATGAATTGTTTTTGGTCCCTTTTAATCATATTTCTAATAATCGCTTATAATTAATACTTAACTTAACGCTGCTGCTCACCATTCGTGCACCTTTACACGGATTTTTTTACCATACTTGGCCTTTGAGTTTTATCATAAATTGCTTTACTTCTGAACTCGCCTAATGGGGCTCTTTCAAATCTTAATAATCTGTCAGTATCTGCTTAATCAGTAATGAGATCAAAAACTTTGTTTCATCAGCTTAATTAGTGATAAGATTAACAATTTTTATTTGATAACTTCTGTAGTAAAGGATGAACATTATGTTATTATTGAATTAGTAAAGTAACTTTTATAGTCAGGTGATTTATTTAAATCATGCATTTTAGTCTTTTGTCAATTGCATTTAAATTTATTAATTTATAAAATTAATCTCTAATTTTTAAATTAAAAGACGACTCAAGAAGACGTTGCTCATTTCAAAGGTCAAGAGGTCAAACTCTTGATAAAGTTAGTGTTTAAAACACTTGCATCTCACACGGTCAACTCAATGTTACATGTTAAAGAACAAGATCGTTTAATACCTTATTTAAAAGAAGTTATAAAAATCCGTATAAAAAACCAGATTGTTTGATAGTTTGTTTTTGAAAGTTGTTAAACATTTATTACGAGGTATTTCAAAAATAAGGTTGTATTTGTAAAGTTTCAAATTTATACATTTTTCTTAATTTATATATTTATCTATATATGTGTGTTATTTATATTGTGTTTTATTGTGTATATATGTGTTAAGGTTATATGGGTTTATATTTTGTAAGTGTAAATATATGAAATGTTTCAATGTTTGTGGTGTGTTATATGTAATATGTTTATAGTTTGTAAGTGATAATTATGTTGTTTGCATGGTTTCAAATTGTTGTGACTGGGCTTAGTTTACAGCAAGATTGTTGACCTTGCTAGCCAAGTGGTGTACTTTGCTATAATGTGACCTGGCTTTGTTGAGAGCAAAAATATTGTCCTCGCCAGCAGAGTGGTGTATTGTCATAATAAAACACATAAATTAATTCTGTTTGTAATTAGTGTATTTCTAAAATGTGTTGAAAAAATATTGTTGAAAAAATGTGTTTTAATGTTGTTATCCTCTGTTCTTAACAATGTATGCTTTTGATAATAAATAAATTTTGTTAAAAAGCAGGCTTTACTAACAGCTCCTCCTCATTAAAATTTTTAAGAGTTTTGATTTTCTTCATTAAATATGTTTAACTCAAATTTTTTTTATATATATAAAAGTAAGTTTACAGCGTGTTGAAGCATAAGTTTTAATAACTTTTGTTAAATTTTTAGGATTTTTTGTATAGAGAATGTTTTCTTTATATTATTATTTTAATGTTTTGTATGTACATCAGTATATATATATATATATATATATATATATATATATATATATATATATATATATATATATATATATATATATATATATATATATATATATATATATATATATATATATATATATATATATATATATGTATATATATAGACACACACACACAATAAAATATATAGAATTAAAATGTCTATACATATATTATATGTATAGACATTTTAATTTTTTTGCCTTAAATTATTGTCCCTTTTTCTTTAGAATATTAAATATCTAAAAAAAAAATTAAAATAGTAAAAGAAGTTTCAATATTTCCAAGTTTCTTCACTTGAAGCAAATATATGATTGTTTATAGAGGTTCTTTTAGTAGTTTTGTATTTATTTATTGCAAATCTTGCGTTAAATGCCTTTCAAAGTAATGAAAGGGTTTTGTTGATGGATGATTACATTTTATCCTTCTATGCTAGCAGTACTTGCTGAGTTGACAGGCCTTAAATTTTTTTAATTTGCTTTATTTATGAGTTCTTATATGTAAAAAATTTGTTTTTTAAAAATACATTTTTTTTTTGTTTTTTTTTTTTGATTAAATACTTATAATATTTTGTCAATAATTAATAACAACTACCATAAATATATAAACAATACTTAGTTGAAAATATTATATTAATTTATAACTTTAGTTTAAGTTTTTAATAAAACTATGTTATCTTAACACAATGCTATATATGGTAGAATATAATAGATTATAGTTTTATGCTCTGTACTATTTGCTTACACTTTATTTTAGATAAGTTTAAAAAAGAAACTTCAACTTTTATTATATTAGGCATCATTTTTACACATTCCTTTGATGCCTAATTATGTCTAATAATTTAAGAAATGAAATTATTAGACTTCGTCAAAATGAAAGAAGGCAGGCTAGGCGAGCTGAGATAAACCGCCGTCGAAATGAAAGAGATGAGCCCAGGCGAGCTGAGATAAATCGTTGTCGAATTGAAAGAGATGAGTCCAGGCAAGCTGAGATAAATCGTCGTTGAATTGAAAGAGATGAGCCTCGGCAAGCTGAGATAAATCGTCGTCGAATTGAAAGAGATGAGCCCAGGCGAGCTGAGATAAATTGTAATCAAAATGAAAGAAATCAGGCTAGGCGAGAACTTAATAGGTATAATATGCATCGCATAGCAAGAAATAATATTGCTATAGAGAGTAACTACCTCGGAGAATTAAACCATAATTGTCAGTATTGCAGTGCAAAGAAGTTTTTAAATGAAACTCAATTTTTGTGCTGCCATTCAAGAAAAGTTGTATTAGCTCCTCTTTCTCTTTATCCGCCATTGTTGACTGGTTTAATGACAGGAAACCATGTTGATCATGCTGTAAATCAAAATTTTTTTAAACACATAAGGAGTTATAATTCCTCTTTATCTTTTGCTTCCTTCACTGCCGAAATAGCTCCTCCCTCAAATAATGGCCCTTTCTGTTTTAGGGTCTGTGGGCAAATTTTGCATCGTGTTGGAAATTTAAGGCCTGCAGAAGGTTGTCTGCCCAAATATTGTCAGCTGTATATCTATGATCCTAATGCAGCTTATTACATTGATTGATTGTTTTTATTGCATTTTTAATTTTCTTTTATTTATCTCAGCTGCTGCTTCTTCTGTTACAAGTAAGTTGTTATATTCACCTTTATTTGACTTATTACATTGATTGATTGCTTTTATTGTACCTTTTGTTTTTTAATATAGCTACAAATGTGCTTTCCAGTTTAATTAGTTAATGTAATAAGTCAAGTATTAGTGAGTAAAATAAATAAGTTGTTGTGCTCACTTGTACTTAATTTATTACATTATTTGCTTTTATTGTTTTTTTACAGTAGATTTTTTGTAAGTATTACCTAGGTAGATAGTTGTATTTATATATAATTTTTTTTTCAGGCTCGAAGTCATGGGAAGATTTCCGAAAGTATCGCTCCCATCATCCAGGCCCTCTATCTATGAGGGCCTTCCATCGCTGGTGTTTGTATGGGGACGACCATCCCTCCTTTAGATGGAGGGATGGCACACCATACAACACGGGGAATAGAGCGGATGCTGGGAGGAGAAGACAATGTGGCTCAAAAGTTGACAATAATTTTTTTACATTTTAAAATGTAAAGAAATTGACAACTTTTGAGCCACTTCATTTTTTTTTTGTAATATATTTTTGTAAATTTATTTTTGTGTTGTTTTTTAATTTTTCCCATGAATGTTAAATGTTATCAAAGTAAATCATTTAAATAAAGACACCTTTATCAACAATGCTCATTAACTAGAAATAAAAGTCACGGTCATACATTTGATAAAGTTAATGTTAATCTCAAAGGGATTTGGTTTTCACACAATCAAATTCTATGTAGCACCTTCCAGAACTAAGAATATAAGTGTGTGGTGTTAGTAGTTTAAAATATGTATAATAAACTCAGAATAACTCAATAACTCTCAACAAAACTATGAACTAATTTTGAAATTCAAGTTGAGCTTTTTTATTCATTAATACCTCACATCCCAATAACTCTAATTTTCCTTAAAAAACTAATTTTTTTGTCCTTTGAAGGTGGTTCTGCTATTTAATTAATTGTTGTGATGTTTTATGCAAATATATTTAGCTCACATTCATGTTGGTCTGTCAGGGTTATGTAAAAATAAAAAAGTAAGTTTCTTATTCGCAAATTTGAGTTTTCAAAAGTATTGATTGCATGACATGTTAATTTGTAATTAATGTGTATGATTATTCGTTTAAATAACTTTGTTCCATTTTTAGTTCCGTTTCTTATAGCTGACTTGATTATGGCTTACCTAAAGCTTAATATTTATGAAACAATGATTCAATTTAAATTGTATTATAAGTAGCTCTGTTGAATAAATTTTTTTTTTGTAATTTGTACTAAAGGTTATATTTTTATTTTATATCAAGAAAAATATGTTTTTAAGTAAATATCTATATTTTTTTATTTTGGGATTTATTGTTTTAAATGGATATAAAAATCATTTTTGCTTTGTCTTTCATATTTCCTTTTATTATATATGAATAGGAACCATTTATGCTTTAATCACCATTAGCACTCGAAGTTTCCATTTGCATTAAGTATCGATTTTTGGCACACACAACAGGTTTAATAACTTAGGCAGTAAAAACAGCTTGAATGATTTGTTAAGAGTCTTTAAAGAAACGCTTTTACGAAAAGCATTAAATAGATAAAGCTAACTTATTTAAAATAATAAGTCTTTAACCCGTTTTTCTATATCCAAATTTACTTTTTAAATAAATGTTGATAAAAGGGTAAAATATCGTTATAGCCTACGTTAATTTTAAATTCTTTTTAAATTAAAGAAAAGAGTTTTGATACTTATTTAAATAGGGTTAATAAAATATTTTAAATTATATTATATATATTATATTTAAGAAATTATTAAACTAAATTAAATAATATTTTTAGATGAAACAGTAAAAATAATTGTTTAAAATACGTGCGTGCAAATAATTCCTACAAATACTAAACGTAAAATAACGCTTACAAACACCAAAAGTATGTTTGCAGTGAATAAAGTTAAGTTCAAAGATAAATAGGAAGAAATGTTGAAAACTGTTTCAATAATAACATTTATTTTTAATTACTTTTGTTGTAAGTTGGGATGAAAAAAAAAGGTCACTGGAGTATGAACTCCCGGGGTGAGATGACTATATCTGTCTAAGTGTTGCGCGTCTACCAATTAGCCCATAAACGTATTTTCTATTTAGAATTTAAGATTATTTATGACGCATAAGAAGTGTAATTAAAAATTCAAAACCAAGTTTGCAACAACTGAATTTAAATAAAATCTAATTAGATGTGTATATGTTATGAACGTTAACTAAGGCGTACTTTAACGGCGTCACGTGTTGAATGTTTTAGCATTTTTCTAAGTTCGTAGTCTTTTTTACGTTTTTTCTTATTAAAATTTTTATAAGCGGCATAATATTAAAATCGTTTGAAGTTTTTAAAAGAACATTTTAACAGAAATGTTTTTGTCATATCAAAAAGTAAGTATAGTTTTTACATGTACATTTTTAAACGGTTTTAAAAAAATATTGAGGTAAGGAATAAGTATAGAAAAGGTCGGTGAGGAATAGATTTACTAAGACCCTTACTTTACGTCCGGATAGCTATAGATAAGTATAAAAATGGTCGGTTCGGTAAAGACCCGTATTTTACGGGTCACCCCAGCTAGTAATTAATAATAACATAATCATTTACCTTTTCATGATCAAAAAAACATGTTCTCTTGGCTTTCCACCACCAATCTTTTTCAAACTATCAAGCTGAAATAAATGTAATAAAAACTAGTGTAATTTAAATTTCTTTACAACATATTGAGTCTAACACAAGCTAGTTATTTTAGTTCATTAACAAATACTTTTCATTTAGATTCTAAACTAGTAAACCAAATTTAAACAAACTTATTAAAAATTAAGATAATTAGATTATAGCAAATTAGTATACTCGGTTTTATCTTTTAGTTTATTATCCAGTGTAACCACTTTGTCCACTGATTCTAGCAACTTCACCCCAGTAGCCTGAAACTTAATTTCTATAACTTCTTTTAAAAGAACTTTTATTTCTGCAAGCTCATTGAGAATAACATTTTGCATCTCTACAAACAAGAATAAAAAGATTGATTAACATATTTAGCTAATAAAACCAAATAGCAAAACAATGAAAAATGAACTTTAAAATTCAAATTATGCTTGAGTAACTCAAACTAAAATTCCAAAAATACATGTAAATTTTTTAATTACTCCATCGCAGAAGTTGCCATAATATTTTGGAAAACCTACTTTTTAAATCAGCTAAAACTTTATCCTGTAAAAAGTTACGATGTTAAAGAATTTTGTTTAACTACTAAAGGTAAAATGCTTCACACATTTATCGGATCACAATATTATAAATAATCCATTTCTATTCTTTTATACCTATCTTTTTCAATTATTTTAATACAAAAACAAATTAATAAAAAAGACCTCCACATTAACATTCAGTGGTGTAAAAACCAAAAAAACTCATATTAAAACTTGAAACTCTTTGACAATGTGAACTTTGCTTGGTTTTATTCTGTTCATCAATAAAATGTGAAGAAAAATTATCTTTTTTTAATCTTTGAATCTGATAACAACTCTATTCAAAAGAAATAATTATAATTAAAACTATAAATAATCCCTCAACCATACCTGTTACTTAATTTAATTTTTCAACCAATTTTGTACTCTTTCAATTTCTGAATTTAAACAATTTCAGCATGCTTTCAATCAATTTTCAATTTTCATATCAAGTTGATTAAAGGATTATATAATACAATAGAATGTTGTCAATGATATAAATATATGTAACCAATTTAACAACATTACATATAATAGGACACCCAAATAGTTAAAATAAAAGGAAAATCTTAGTAATACATAAAAAAGACTAATAGCTAGATAGATATTATTCAGATCAAATTAAACAAGAATCTATTTCAGTTTATAAACCATTAAGAAAAAAATGTGATATTTGTGTTATACTTTTATCATTGAGCTTATTCATAATAGGTGGCGGAGGTTCTGGCAATGAAGAGCGGTATGATTTGTTATTCTTATTTTTAATGCTTTCTTTAACATATATCTCATCTGATGTAGAAAGTTGTATTCTTCACAACATGAAAATGAATCTAATTATAAAACATTTTGCTACAAAAAAGTAATTAAGTTACCTTTAAAAAAAACACAAAACAAGTTAGATACTGACTATCTGCTATCTTACACTTTATCAATGGAAATTTGTGCCATTCTTTTGTTGACGAAAGGTTGTTTTTTAGTGCATGATTATAGTTTTTTTTTGGGACAATAAATTTGTTGCTATTCTTTGTCAACCCACTTCTTTAGTGCATAATTACTTGGTTAGAAAAACATGCAGAAAAACTTTCCTTTAAAGTTGGGTTATGCTTATACTCATTAGGCTTTTGGTCATAAGAGTATTCATTGTACAAAATCGATGACTCACGATGGTCAAAATATTCTTTTAGATTTTCGCAAGATAAGAAATCATTTTTTTTAGAAGTTCCAACATTCGATTTTTTTTTTTATATGTACTGACGAAAATTCTAGTATTTATTAATATTCTTTTTGGACACGTCTACTGCGTCTCTTTTCGTATGCCCTTTTTGTAAAAGACATAAATGAATCTTGGTTCCTCGATTAACAAAACAATCTTTTGTGTTATTGAAAAACACTTATATATATATATATATATATATATATATATATATATATATATATATATATATATATATATATATATATATATATATATATATATATATATATATATATATATATATATATATATATATATATATATATATATATATATATATATATATATATATATATATATATATATATATATATATATATATATATATATAAATATATATATATATATATATATATATATATATATATATATATATATATATATATATATATATATACATATATTTTAATTACATTTTCTTTTATTCTAGAAATAAAAATATCAACTTGGAAATATTAATTTTGTAATATTTCTGCAAAATAAATTTCAAATCACAAAGACTTTAGCAAACATGCTAAGCATCAAATCATCGAAATATTTTGTGAACTATAATAGCATGTTATTTTATTATTTAAAATTTATCAAAAGAAATAATTATTGATGTCTTCCATAGGTTAAAATCTTCATGCTTTTTTCGAAATAAGTTTCCGCAGGGTTTTTTAATGGCGGTCATTTATAATTATCGCTCCGTAAAATTAGTTAAATTTTTTTTCTTGTTTTTATAACAAATCTATAAAAGACATCTTATAGACATCTAAGTTTAGATGAAAAAAAAATTATCTAAGCACGATCTATTTTATGCATCTAATATGCATCTAAAAACAAAGCAAAAATAGTATCTCTAGAATCAGACGTCTTTTCGATCTCTAATATACGTCTAAAATATACGTATCGGCAATAGATACAAATTAGACCAATTTTAGACGGTCTAAAAGACGTCTATTGTTTGCTGGGATACGACATGGCACCACGCACCGTTAGTGAGATATTTGTATATCTGAACTCAAATTTGAACACATTCGAATGCAACTTTTTGAAGAATTTAGAAGAAATATGTTCGCACCCAAAAGATATTATAATACACAATTTAAACTCAATGAAAGAAAATGTAATAAGAAGTCTCCGTGAACGTTTGTTTTTTGAAGTTTTGGATAGCTTCAGTAGTGAACAATTCAGAGAGATTAACGTAACGTTAGACTCAGAAAATCCAATGGAAAAAAATCTTCGTAAACGGTACAAAACAACCAAATGTTTAGAAGATATATTTATCTTCTCGATAACTCTATGCGAAAATCAGTTGCACAAAGAAATTTTAAATACATTAATCTCTTGCAAGAATATAGAAACTGCGCACTTAGACGATAAATTTCTGACTTCATCATTAAAAGATTTATTACAAATTTCAAAATCAATCCAAAACGAAAATATAGAAATAAAAGTGGAACTAGGTTTGTTAAAAGAAAAAATAAGTATAAAAAATGAGCTTATTCAAGACCTAATAGTATCTAACGATAACCTTTTATTTCTTAAAAATCAACCGAGGCAAAACATAAATAGTAGTTTAAAACACGATAAAAACACGTGCTCAAAATCTATCGCTGAAGATACAGAAAACGTTAATAACTCTTGCGGTAAGTTATTTAAAAGTATCCCCAAAGTATCAAATGCAAATACGGAAAACCTAAAATCCGATTATTATGCCCAATGCGAAAATAAGCTTTTTAATTACCACACACTAAACGAAAATAAAAATTCTAATGTCACCGCAAATGCTGCAAAAGATAATTTTCAACAACCTTGTGGCAAAACGAATGTAAGCATTTATACAGAAAGCCAATCGCATAATATCAAAACATATGCAAAGGTTGCGGTTCAAAAACAACAGACCTCAGACAAAACTAACCAATTTAAAGAAAAACCTTCAAATATTGATGATAATCCGAATAGTTTTAATTTAGTTGGAAAAAATAATAAACCTGTCCGCCAAACAAATATTCTACCCTTAGAAAAAAAAACATAAGTTATTGGAGCCTATATTTGGAACAAAAACTCCGGGAAATGAGACTATTGCTGGTAGTCGAATAATTCGTAGATTTGAAGTTTTTATAGGTGGTGTTAGCAATCGAATCAACGAAGAACATATGAAATTGTATATGGAAACTTAGGTGTTACGCCTATATCAATTACTTTAAATAGAGAAAACGAATTCAACAGATCGTATAGAGTCTCCGTAAGTAATTCAGAAAAAGATAAAATTTTTAACCCTTCATTATGGGATAATAATATCATCATTAAACCATTCCGTAAAAAGCGCATATATTCTAACGTGGATCATCTGGTATCCAACGGGGGAATAACAAATATTAATTGAAAATGGATCCAAGCACCATAAGAGAAAAAAACAAATCTTCAACAACTTTCGATATATGTACTTTCAACTGTCAGGGACTTAAGTCAAACATTGATTTTACAAAGTCACTTATACAATCCTATGATATAACTTTTTTATGTGAACATTGGATATCTAAACTTGAATACTCCGTAATAAAGGATATATCTAATAACAAACACTCCAATTATTTCCATCAGTCTAATAAACATGAAAAAGGCCGACCATTTGGCGGAAATGCGTTTTTTATACGAAAAAATAAATTCCAAAATATAAAAGTAATTTACAAGGACGACCATAGTTTAGCAATAAATTTCAAAAAAAAACAATCTTAGTATTATAGTTATTGGGTTATACCTCTCCTCTTTGCGGAATAGCCTCTCGTCTCTGGAAGAATAAAAAGGTCAACTAGATACTGTTAAAGGTCTAATTGATAGTTACGAAGGTAACGGCAGTATAATATTAGCAGGTGACTTCCAATCCTTTCAACACCAAATGTATGATTTATCTGAAAGATCAAATTTTAAAAGAAATAGTTATTCTGTGCACTTATCGGAATTTTTAAAAACAAATCAATTAGAACTAGTAGATGTAACTAAAGGTTCTGGCCCTAATTATACATATCGACACCAGACACTATCGAATTCGTCATATATTGATCACTTCGCCGTATCAAAATATACAAGTTTTATAAATCTTAAATGCATTGTTCATCCTGAATGCTCAAATAATTTGAGCGACCACCTACCACTATCAAAATCAGTTGAAGTTAAGTACACCGAATGCAATACCATTGAACTAGCAGAAGATACTAATATTCCTAGCTATGCTTGGAACGATTCTAACTTTATAAATTCTTACAATGTTTATTTAACCAATCGCTTTAACAATCTTAATTTTACTAACGATTATGAATACGACCTTCTCCAAATCTATAAAAAAATTACTGACAGCGCTCAAATAGCTTTTAAGGAGACTTTAAAAAATAAACAGCAATGTTTGTATTCAAAATCTTGGTGGACACCTGAATTAAGTCGGTCTAAAACTAATCTTTCAATTCATTTTAAAAAATGGAGAGATTCTGGTTTTTTTAAAGAGTTAAACTCGGTATCATTTAACCGTTACCAAATGGCTCGTAAAAAACTTTCGTAAAGCCGTCAAGTCGGCTCAAAATAATAAAATTTGCGCACAATATATTAAAATTGAAAAGTTAAAAAATACAAAACCAAAAAACTTTTGGAATGCTTTTAGATGTTTAAACAAAGACATAAATTCTAGATTATTTACCATAAATAATAAAAAAGACAAAGAATCCATTACTTCAGAATTCGCAAACCACTTCGAAAGAGTACTGAATACTCCAAAAATAAAACATCGTAAAGAAAATCAGAGAATTCCCCCGTGTACAAAACATGATGATGTAACAATAACTGAAGAAAATATAATTAGGGCTATTTCAAATTTAAAATTAAAAAAATCTCCTAACTCTTTCGATATCTCAGCAGAACATTTGAAATACGCAAAGTGCGATACTTTAACAAAATGGCTCATCAAATTTTTTAATTACTCCATTAATTATGGATCGACTCCAATATCAATGTCGACGTCAACTATTGTACCCCTTGTTAAATCGTACAAAAAGGCTTTAGATAGCCCGAGCAACTATCGTGGTATTAGTATTATACCAATTTTTACAAAGGTTCTAGAATACCTGATCTTAATTATATGTCCGGATATTAGAGATACTCCCTACAATTTGGATTCAATGCTAACTCTTCAACGCTACATGCTGAATTTCTAATAAGCGAAACAATTAAACATTACAACAGCAACCATTCCCCTGTGTATCTATGTTCTTTAGATGCAGAAAAAGCTTTTGATAGCTGTAACTGGAATATCCTATTTGAAAAATTATATTTCGATAAAAAATTACCACTATGTATAGTTAACACTATCTCCTCGTTGTATAACAATAGTAGCGCAACAGTCTCATATCAAGGTTGTAAATCAAACTCTTTTCCTCTAAACCAAGGAGTAAGACAAGGATCAATTCTTTCGCCTCACCTCTATAATATTTACATTGAAAGTCTTCTCGAAACTACTAAAAATCAGGGTATTGTTGGCACATCTATAAACGGTAACTTTACTGGTGTGGTAGCCTATGCGGATGATATAATACTTTTAAGCTCTACCTTATCTGGTCTCAAAAAGTTTATAAAAACATGTAATATTTAAAATAATCTAAATTGTATTAAACTGAATGCCGAAAAGACTGAGTTCTTGATCTCAGGTAAAGCCCAAATACAAACTAATACAATAACAATTTCTGGTAATAAAAAAAATCTTCAGAACAAACTTAGACATCTGGGATTCATATGGGATACTAAACATTCAGTTTTTGCTTCACTCGGTTATTCAAATGTTGATGAAAAAATATCAAACTTTAGAGCTGTTGTTCAAACTCTTATTCAATCTGGAATCCGGTTTGCCCACCCCAGTTCTATTTCCTATATATATAAATCATTGGCAGTCCCCACCTTAACTTATGGTATGGAGCTATGTGAAAATAATCCTGGTCTGATGAAAAAGCTAGATATAATTGGAAGGAGTGCGCTAAAATCGTTTTTAAATGTTTCGAAACATAGTAAAAACTATATGAATTCGTTATTTAAAATCCAGGAAATTTCAAAAAGTGTTCAACAAAATAAGTTAAACTTGTTCCTTCAAC